TCAAATTCCTGAATAGTAGACACAAACCACACATGAGTAGTTTATATTCTAACACTGACAAGAACCCTTCTCTTAACTTTGCTATTTGCAGCAGGACTCTACACAGTCAACCCTAAAGCTTGGTCTATACCTCACAAGCTCTCTATTTCTGTTGCTTTCTGTCTAATCATTCTTCTGATCGCCCTTCTTGTCTACATTTAAATGCCCTATGCCTGCTTGCCTTGCCAGTTTACTGCTTTCCTCCAGACCATTTTAGCTAATATCTTGTGGTCCTACCCAAAAACTTCTACCCTCAACTCCCACCTTGAGTGGATAAATGACCTTATGTGGCAAGGGACATTCCAATTCTTTCACCCTAATGAAGTTCTCCTCTTTACTTTTCTACTCACTCTTATTCTTGGTCCCATTCTGTCATTAGCTACTCCTTCATAATTACCTTCCAATTCTTACTCCCCTAAAGTCCTTCCTCCTTCTTCTTTTATTTGGACCTTGCATTTTCCAATTAGTCTCTCAATTTCTACAAAACCGTATTCGGCCATCACTAATCACTCTATATGGCAAATGCTACTTTTAAGAACCCCACAATATCACCCCATCCCAGGACCTCTCAGCCACTTAAGACAAGATGCCTTGCCAACCCTCCCTGTTCACCTGCCTGTCTTATCCCCAGTCCTGTTTCATCCCTTCTAGGATCATCCCTTCTAGGATCAACCAGAAACACCCACCCACCCCTCAAGAATTCCAGGCAACACTGGGCTAAGTAAGGTCAAGATGCAGCATGCCAACTCTCCAGAACCCACATATAGCCCTTTCAATCCAAGTCTTCCTGGACCACATCCCGTCCAATCTTGACCCAAGGCTTCATCACCAGCCACCTTAAAGCTATTATGCTTCAAGGACTTAACCAAACACGTAATAAACTATAAGAATCACAGACTTTTTTTTTAGGTGTCCTTGCAGCCCCCTGTCATGCTCAAAGAAGCCATGAGAAACATCGGCCCTACTCACTTCTCAAACTTTTTTCTTTATACAGATATAAAAAGATGAGAATGTCAGGCCTCCAAGTCCAAGCCTGGCCATTGTAGCCTGGGTGACCTGCATGTACACCTCTGGATGGTCCCCAAGGGCCAGAAAGTCTGAAGTAACCACAAGTCACCAGGTGGCCACAGAAAGAAGCTAAACAACTTGTTCCAACCTCAACCAATGGCTCACGCCCTGAAACCTGCAACCTGCAACCATTGTTCTGCTCATCCTCACAGAATTTCCCGCCTGGACAATGGGTTTCTCAGGGCCCCAACCCCTGTAACTATGTAATTTGCCTCACCCTCCCCTCTGCTTGCAACCAATAACCCCCACCTTTATGATAATGCCTGTTTGTAATAGATGACCCCTACCCTTGTGATCAAGCATCCTGTGACACCCTTCCCCTCCCGAAGATAGATTACTGACCTCTACCCTTGTTGTCATGCATCCCATGATGCCCTTCCCCTCTCTAAAATGATGCCCTTCCCCTCTCTAAAATACATTACCACCTTTAACTGACCACTTGCCCCAACCTATAACACCAACTCCTATCCAACTGCCCTCTGCCGAATCTCTTTTCGGACTCAGCCCACCCGCACCTGGGTGAATAAACAGTCATGTTGCTCACACAAAGCCTGTCTGGTGGTTTCTTTACTTGAGTGATGCGCCTAACAGTAGGTACCAATAAAACACCTTCCCTTCTAATTCTCATTATTTGCATTTTTAATTGACAAATAATAATTGCATATATTTATGAGGCCCTTCTACTTTCTTAGCCTAGATGACTATGTCAAAAGAATAAAATGGTTTAATTTCATTTCCTTTTCCTATTCTTGGTAAGATGCTACTACTTAACCTAAAGCTCTCAACACTCACCTTATCCCTTATCCAACAGATTCCTTGCCTTCCCCATCACTCCTTTCTTTCCTCTACCACATACTTTTAGCTAGATAGCTTCTTCCCCCCGCTTGCCCTCTATCTACCTGTCACCTATGCTCCCTTCCATCCACTTTGTATCACCTGGCTTTGCCTAAATGTTGGTGTGGACACAGATGTACTGCTATATTCTTGGGTGTAGTGTACAAGGCCCAACAGTAAAACAATGGCGTTGTTCTTTCAGAATACATGTAACTAAGTGCTGATGTATTCCAGTACTCACCTTTAAAAGCCAATTCTAGTAACACAATTTAACTCAAAATATATTTTATGAACTGAAGAAAACCTAAATACATATTCCTTACTCTTATTCTTAAAATTTCTTTAAAGTCTTAGAATACATCAACTTATTAGTTAAGAAAATAATTTGATGACCACTTGCCAAGTGCTAAGCACAAGTCTTAGAATCCAACAACCCTATGAAATGGGTAGCCTTTTAAGTTCAGTTGAACCACAAGAAATTGTCTTTCTGTAAGTGAAAATATGCACTGCTCACATGTTCATAAACTAAGCCCAAGGTCACACAGTAGTTAACTGCAAAGTTACAACCCAACATAATCTCTAACCACGACAGATTTTTATTCCATGTTCAAATAGGAAAGACACGCCTTTACAGCAGTTTGTGAATGAAATAAATTAAGAGGGAAAAAACTTTCCCAAAGACCTTCTGGTTGACAACAAGTTCAATAGGCAGTAATTCTAGGCCAAGGTTCCAAATACGTCTCTGTAAAATCGGAAATACTGGGTCTGTCTAGACACACAGAAAAAGAGAATAGTATTGTACTTGTCACTAGTCAGCTATTGTGTCATTTTGGTTACTAATCTGAGACCTAAGTCTCTTTTCCATAAAATGGAATTTGCTCTTGACCTGTATCTCAGTGATGGCATGGGTTTAAAATAACTTATGAGAAGCCAGAAGAGGTGGCTCACTCCTGTAATCTCAGCACTTTGGGGGGCCAAGGCAGGTGGATCACTTGAGGTCAGGAGTTCGATACCAGCCTGGCCAACATGGTCAAACCCAGTCTCTACTAAAAACACAAAAATTAGCTGGGCATGGTTGGGGGGGGGGGCTGTAATCCCAGCTAATTGGAAGGCTAGGGCAGGAGAATTGCTTGAACCCTGCAGGCGGAGGCTGCACTGAGCCGAGATTACACCACATGCACTCCAGCCTGGGCTACAAAGTGAGACTGTATCTCAAAAAAAAAAAATTAATAATTATGAACATCAGCAGCATGGTTGAAACAAATGCGAAAGAAACATAAGACCTCATTCTTGGATGTTTCCAGTGAGATAGAGAGAGGGACAAATTCCATTCAAACTGTCATTATTTGAATAGACTAATATTCAATTCCAGTGTAGACCCGATGCCAGGATGCTCCTGGGAGTGACCCCAGGGGCTTCCTGGGGAGAAAGGCTTAACTACTATTACTTCCACCAAAGAGTCTCAGTCTCATCTTTACATTGGTATTTAAGAAAACATCAAAAGGGTAAACTTTTCCACCACCTCCCTCTTCAATCCAGCCTCACGCACGGTGTATATGCACATAATGATACCAAAACAGTTCAATGAAACTCCTTAAAATTTTCAGCTGTCTGCCCTGGGGCAGTTCTGTGAAAAAAAAAAAAATTTCACCTGTCAAATGTTTTGATAGCTGGCTACGAGACCCATAAGGGTAAGGGCAATTTTAACTTTTCCTAGGGAGTAAACTGGGAGCGTAGAAGACCATAGGGTACTCTTGGTCGAGATACAAAAATTATAGTTCACTCCTTCATTTTAGTCTACTGACTGAAGTTCAATTTTCCTCAAGAGTATTCTATGGCAGACTTCAACCACCAGGTGGCACAATTTTAGAAAGTAAATCAATCAAGAGCGGGCGCTATATTAACTCTAGTATAAAGAAAACCGGTAAGCATTCTAATAACGCACTTCAACAAATCTACAATCACGGGGGAAAACCCTGTATTTTAATACCAGTTGGCTTTTCTTTCGAAAGATTTTCCTATTGTGCGGCTGCACAGGAAATTTACACAACAGTTGTAATTTCTAACTTTATTTCAAAGTAAGCAAAAAACAAGGCCAGAAAAGCCTGTTGTTCAGAGCCTGAAGAATCTGTTCTCCAGAAAAAAATATCCACAGATAAACGGCCTGTAATCCCAGCTGCTCAGGAGGCGGAGGCACGAGAATCACTTGAACCCAGGAGGTGGAGGTTGCAGTGAGCCAAGATCTCACTGCACTCCAGCCTGGGCAACACAGCAAAACTCCATCTCGAAATAAAATAAATTAAAATGTATAAAATAACAAACATACATTTTAAAGCCTACACTTCGGCCCTAGTATCAGTTAAATAGTTATTTTTCAACTTTTCAAACTATGAGTCAAACTATGAGCCGTACCGCAGGAGAGGTAGCAGACGGTCGGCGACTGCCTCCCCTACCCACTTCGACTTAGCGCGAAGGGACCAATTCTAAACCGATGCCACTGAGAAAGGGACTGGCGCTGGCAATGTAGACCCCGTGCCAGGCTGCTCCTGGGAGTGACCCCAGGGGCGACCTCGGGAGGAGGAGTTAACTACTCCGACTTCCACCAAAGAGTTTGAGTGAATGCGCCCTCGCAGCTTTCCCTGAACAAACATTTCCAAAGGGCCCAGCACTCCGCTCCGTGAATTTCAGAGGAAAATATCGCCCATACATCTCGAGGAACGCAGAGGCTCGCGAGGGAGCATTCTTGCAAAAGCACGTGGTAAATGCCCAATCGATGTTTGCTGAATGTTGAATTCGTGAGTCTTAGAAACTGACAACTAGTTCAGGCCTCAACGCAGTAGGAAAAGGATGGAAAATAAACTCATTTTAAATCAACTCAACAAGTGCAAAAGCCACGAATGAAGAAGACAGGAGATAATAAAAGGCATCACAACGTAATTCCTTTGCCCTCAGAAACTTCCACGCCCTTAAGGTTTTAAATGAAGACTTGCAAAACTAATTAAGACTCTACATAAAACCCCTGATCTTGAAACCCAAGAAAAGAAAGGTCAATGTCTTACTTTCATGAAAAAAAAGTACTGACGGGGCTCTTAGTGGGTTCTCAATCACAGAGACAACTTTCACTGCAGCGGAAACGTGCTTGAACGGCTCCCGTTCTCTACCCGCAAATTCTCAACCGCTACTGAAACAACAACAATTTATTGAGCGTTCATCGTGTCAAACTCCGTGTTGAGGGCTGCATTCCTCAAAGCCGAGCGGTGGGTTGCGCCCGTTTTACAGGCGAAGAAGCCTCGGCCAGGGAGGGGAGGAGCGCGCCCGAGGTCAGCTGGTGAGCGGCAGGCGGGTTCGAACCCCGAAAGACACCCAGGGCCTGTCTCAGCCACCAGCGTATCCCCCAGCGAGCGCCCAGCCACTCCACCCGCAGCCTCCCCAGCGCAGGAGCCCGGCTGTGGGCCTGGGGGCGCCGGGTCTCCCTGGTCCTAACTCCCTGGGCCGGTGGGCGGCAGGAAGGGGGCTCTGCAAGGCGCGCCGTCAGGGGACCTGAGGAGGGACAACCGACCGCGCTCGGAACCGCCCGGACTCCCGAGACTCACCCGACTCGCGGCCACACCTGCAGGGCCGAAGCGGAAATCACCGACGAAGACGCCCGACCGAAAGGCAAGCTACCAGAGTCAAGGACTGAACCGTCCCCAAGTGGCGAACGCCGGGGACGCTCTCCACTGCTGTCCTGGCTCCTCGCCCCCGCCGCCCGCGGGCCTCAAGGCGCCTGCGCCGCCCGGACTGGACGGGCCCATTTCTGTGCGCCCTGGGGGGAAGCACAGCGAGTCCACTGAGGCACGGCGCACCCTGCCGAGCGTCTGAGCCACAAGCCGAGCACACAAGCCAGGCTCGAGGAGCCTAAGGGCAGGTCCACTACTGGTGCACGACCGTACAATTTTAAGAATAGCGGCGCGGGGGCTCAGCGAGCTTCGCTTCAGTCGCTCCCCCGTGCAGTTCCCTGTGCCCAAGACGCTGCCAGAAGCTTGAGCCCCCCGGTGGGCAGGGCTTGGAAGCAACAGGAACTGCAATTGGTAGCTTTGAACGCGCGACGGGCGGGAACGGCAGCTGAGGAGTGAGACGGCAGGAGATGTGGGCCGGTAAGAGAGCCCCGGACGGCAGTGGATCGGGCCCCGGAGGGTGCCAGGGCGTTGAGGAAGCCAGATCCCAAGCCTCGGGGGCGGCTTTCTTGGGCTTGCCGCACGTCGTGAGGTGCAGGATTGGCGGTGGGTCTCGGGCTCCGGGCGGGGAACTGCGGTTGAGGCCGAAGTGAAAGGGGCGGTGACGCCTGGCTAGCCGTGACGTCACCTCGCCCGCGGAGGGGCGGGGCTGAGCCTCCCGTAGGCGTGTGTCTGCGTCAGAGGCCGGCCATGTGGTCATATGACCTGGGACTCCGCTCTCTAAGCTTGGGGTTGTTGCCTGGCCTGGGGTTGGGGTTTTGCTTTCTTGTCACCTCGGCTTCCGTCATTTTTCGTCCTTGTAGTCTATTGCGTTGCTCCTCGCGCTGCCTGCTTAAAAGGAATCTTTTTGATCATACGTTCCACAAATCTTGAGCATCTACTTTATGCTAGGCACTAAAGCGCTAGGAATTACAAAGAAAGTTTAAAAATGGGGCCTGGCGCAGTAGTTCACGACTGTAATCCCATCACTTTGAGAGGGCGAGGCGGGCGGATCACCTTAGAGGTCAGGAGTTCGAGACCAGCCTGGCCAACATGGTGAAACCCGGTCTCCACTTAAACTACAAAAATTAGCTGGGCGTGGTAGCAGGTGGATCACGAGGTCAAGAGATCGAGACCATCCTGGTCAACATGGTGAAACCCAGTCTCTACTTAAAAAAATACAAAAATTAGCTGTGCATGGTGGCGCATGCCTGTGGTCCCAGCTACTGGGGAGGCTGAGGCAAGAGAATTGCTTGAACCCAGGAGGCGGAGGTTGCGGTGAGCCGAGATCGTGCCATTGCACTATAGCCTGGGTAACAAGAGCGGAACTCCGTCTCAAAAAAAAAAAAAATTGTCACTGGGGTAAACGTTTACTGAAGGGATTTCTAACTTAATTGGTGAGATTGAGTGCGCTCCAAATTTCTTTAGACAGGCGTTCTGCAAACTTTACCCAGAATTATCTGATGTGCTCTTTAAAAGATGCTAAATCTCAATCCCTCCATGTCCCATCCTCACAGTTTAACTTGATAGGGCCCAGGAATCTTCATTTTAACAGCCTAGCCTTGCCTGTGTGTGTGTGTTTTTGTTGTTGTTTTTTGAGATCAAGTCTCACTCTCGCCCATGTTGGAGGGCAGTGGCGCTATCTCACTACAATCTCCTCCCGGATTCAAGTGATTCTCCTGCCTCAGCCTCCCCAGAAGCTGGGACTACAAGTGTGCGCCACGACTCCCGGCTAATTTTTGTATTTTTAGTAGAAACGGGGTTTCACCATGTTGGCCAGGATGGTCTGGAATGCCTGACCTCAAGTGAAACACAGCGCCTGGCCCCTCGCCTGTGTTCTCAGTGGGAGAAGTGTTGACTTGATATTTCACCTACTGCTGAATCCCAGTCAGCCAGGTTGTCTCCTCAGGCATTCATTCCATAAGCTTTTATCAAGGACACATTAGACTGTGCTTGGGCTGACTAGACTTAATTGACTATAGTGACCCAGTTCTGGATTCTAGGAGCATAGCTGTGAAAAAAAACACCGTCCTGGGCCGGGCGTGGTGGCTCAAGCCTGTAATCCCAGCACTTTGGGAGGCCGAGGCGGGTGGATCATGAGGTCAACAGATCAAGACCATCCTGGTCAACATGATGAAACCCCGTCTCTACTAAAAATTACAAAAAATTAGCTGGGCATGGTGGTGCGTGCCTGTAATCCCAGCCTCAGGAGGCTGAGGCAGGAGAATTGCCTGAACCCAGGAGGCGGAGGTTGCGGTGAGCCGAGATCGCGCCATTGCACTCCAGCCTGGGTAACAAGAGCGAAACTTCGTTTCAAAAAAAAAAAAAAAAAACACCTCCTGCCCTAGAGCTCAATTTTAGAAAAAATAAAATAAAAAAGATAATTTCAGATAGTTGTGTAAAGGCAATTAGTAGTGGATAGCCTGGTACAGTGGCCCACGCCTGTAATCCCAACACTGTTGGAGGCCAACACAGGAGAACTACTTGAGACCAGGAGTTCAAGAACAGCCTGGACAACATGGTGAAAGAAACCGCCTTTACTAAAAGTAGCTGCGCGTTGTGGTGCACACCTGTAATCCCAGCTACTCCGGAGGCTGAGGCAGAAGAATCATTTGAACCTAGGAGGCAGAGGCTGCAGGAGGTTGCAGTGAGCAGTGCACTCCAGGCAGGGTGACAGAGCAAGACTCCGCCTTAAAAAAAAAAAAAAAAGGCTGGGTGCGGTGGCTGACCCATGAGTTCCCTCTTAAAAGGGTATCCAGAATCTGACCTTTTCCCCTCCCTCACTAACCTCCAGCCTCTGCCCTCGCTTCCTTAGACTGCATTGTCAGTACAATAGCCAGATTGATCCTGGTAGAAAAGCTAAACAAGAGCGTTTCCAGCCTGTGCTCAGTACCTTGCAGAGTAAAACAAGCAGTGATCCCCTGAGTGACTTTCAGGGCCCTCCACGGTCCCTGACCTCACCTCCTCTGTGCCTCCTTCCTCTCCCCGCTATCCCCTCACTGGAGGCCACCCCCATCCCTTTTCCTTGAAGGCCCCAAGCAGGCTCTTGCCTCAGGACTTTTGCACATGGCGTTCCTTCTGCCTGGAAAGCTCATCCACACATGGCTCCTTCTCCTGCAGGGATTGTCCCAAAGTCTTATTCTCTCCAGCACTCCCACTCTCCACTCAGCCTGCCTAACGTGATTCTATTTCCTCCAGCACTCCTCACTTTTAACATAGTTTGTGGTTTCCCTGTTGGTTCTCTCTCTCCTCCACTAGAATGGATGCGCCATACTGGAACAGATAGTCGTTTTTTTGGCCAAAGACATAATCTATCCCCAGTGCCTAGAAAAGTGCCTGACATGCATAAGTAAGGGGTTACATGAATCAGTGAATGAATGAATGAATGATTTATAGATCATCACCATCAAAAGATCAAAATACCCTAACCAAGAAACGAGAGACAGCACCAATTTTTAAACTCTAAAGCATTTAAATATACAATTGAAGGAGAAAAATGCTCACGCTGAAACACTGCAGAATGGCTAGAAAAGGGTAAACATTTAGGTGTTTCACCTACAAATCAAAATCCCAGCTGAATATGATGCTTATGGCCGGGCGCGGTGGCTCAGGCCTATAATCCCAGCACTGTGGCAGGTTGAGAGGGTGGGTGGATTGCTTGAGTCTAAGAGTTCAAGACCAACCTGGGCAATGTAGTGAGACCCTGTCTCTGTTTTTCATGTGTTGTGTATGTGTAAATAAAGATAGACACGTTTTGTATTTGGTTAATACTTCACTGTGCTGCTTTTGCTTCATTAAAGTGCCAAAGGGATGGATGAGACTGTTGCTGAGTTCATCAAGAGGACCATCTTGAAAATCCCCATGAATGAACTGATAACAATCCTAAAAGCCTGGGACTTTTTGTCTGAAAATCAACTGCAGACTATAAATTTCCGGCAGAGAAAGGAATCTGTAGTTCAGCACTTGGTTTGGCTGTGTGAGGTAACAGTGTTAAAAATGATGAGTGTTGAACAAAATGCTACCCCTTTGGGTTTTTCTTTCTTCCGTTCCTTACTCCAAAAGAAATGTAAGGTAGCTGCTAAACTACTAGTGAAGGGATGAGGTCCACAACTGTGGTGGAAAAAAACTCATTTTTAATTGACCTTTTCATCTTAAAAGAATGCTAACAGCCAGGCCTGGTGGCTCACGGCTGTAATCCCAGCACTTTGGGAGGCTGAGGCAGTGGACCATGAGGTCAAGAGATCAAGACCATCCTGGCCAACACGGTGAAACCTTGTTTCTACTAAAAATACAAAAATCAGCGGCGTGTGGTGGTGCATGCCTGTATTCCCAGCTACCAGGAGGGCTGAGGCAGGAGAATCACTTGAACCTGGGAGGCACAGGTTGCGGTGAGCCAAGATCACACCACTGCATTCCAGCCTGGCAACAGAGCAAGACTCTCTTTCAGGAAAAAAAAAAAAACAGAAAAAGAATGCTTACAAATCAGTAAGAAAGAAAAAGTTAATACCACAGGAGAAGAAAACACTCAGTACAAATTTAAATAATGAGCAGTAATTTCTGCAGTATTTTTTTAAACCTATCTAATTATCAAGCATGAAAAGACAACACCACCCAGATTTGTTGGCAAAGTTGCAAAGAAAGGACTCTGTCTTACGTGTTTATCTGCTTAATTGCTTTTTGTTTTAAAATGTTTTCAGACTATCAGAAAAGTTGCAAATATAGTTCAAATAATTTTCTTATTCCACTATACTTGTTCTTCCTTCACTTAATTTGTTTATTTTATTCATTTATTTTATTTATTTTTGAGACAGAGTCTTGCTGTTACCCAGGCTGGAGTGCAGTGGCACAGTCGGCTCACTGCAACCTCTACCTCCCAGATTCAAGCGATTCTCCTGCCTCAGCCTCCTGAGTAGCTGGGACTGCAGGCATGCACCACCATGTCTGGCTAATTTTTGTATTTTCAGCAGAGATGAGGTTTTGCCATGTTGGCCAGGTTGATCTCAAACTCCTGACCTCAAGTGATCTGCTTGCCTTGGCCTTCCAAAGTACTGGGATGACAGGTGTGAGCCACCACGCCTGACCTCCTTTACATTTAAATAAATACACTTTTTGACCTAGCAATTCTATTTGTGGAAATTTATGATGAGAAAATAATAAAAAATAAGGAAGTATATGTAAATAATATAATTGATAAGTATTTAGTTATACAAATTAAGATGCATTGTAGCATTGTTTTAAAACCAAAACAGATCCACATAAAGACATGTATACTAATGTTCACAGCAACATTATTCATAGAAGCCACAAACTGGAGACAACCCAAATGTCCATCAGCAGGTAAACAGATGAACAGATTGTGATGCATCCATACAGTGGATATACTCAGCAATAAAAGGAATGAAGTATTCATAGATGCTAACATATGGATGATATCAAAATAACTGCTGAGTAAAAGCCAGACCCAAAAAACAAGTACATACTTATGTTAACATTCAGATAAACCTCAAGAAAATGCAAACAAATCTGTAATGACAGAAAGCACATCAGTGTTTGCCTCAGGACTAACAGTTGGGAGGTAGAGACACGGGGACAAAGAAGAGTGGAAGCAGGTGGTGATAAGAAAGGGACATAAGACTGGGCACAGTGGCTTCTGCCTGGAATCCCAGCACTTTGGAAGGCCAAGGCAGGCAGATCATTTGGGGTTAGGAGAACAGCCTGGCCAACATGGTGAAACTCCATTTCTACTAAAACTACAAAAATTAGATGGGCGTGGTGGTGCACACCTGTAATCCCAATTACTCGGGAGGCTGAGGCAGGAGAATCACTTGAACCTGGGAGACAAAGGTTGCAATGGGTGAAGATTATATCTTTGCAATCCTGGACAACAGTGAGACTATGTCTCAAAAAAAAAAAAGAGAGAGAGACAGGAGAACATTTGGGAGGCGGTGCTGGTGGATCTTGTCACTGTCTTGATTGTGGTAATGGTTTTGTGTATATGTTCATAAGTCAAAACTTATCAAATTATATACTTTAATATATACTGTTTAATGGATAATTATAGTTCAATAAAGTTCATTTTTTAAAAAAAAATCCAACAATTAAAAGTGATAAATGAGGAATAAATTGTGAGAGAAGGTTTTGAATGCCTGGACTGAGACATGAATCAGAAAGAATGTCTACTGGTTAACAGGAGAACAGAGTGGAGACAGGTTGTCGGTAAAGTACTGAGGACGTGCTAGTACTCTGTTCTAACCAATCCTAAAATGTGTTTTAAAGGGATACAAACAAACCTATCACCAAAGTTAGGCTAATTAATTTGTTTTCTTTTTTAGGAAAAGCAAGCAAGTGTCAATGATGCTGCCCTCTTAGACATCATTTGTAAGTTTCAGTGATTTGTATTTACACTTAACCAATCAGTTTCATCAGAGGCAATTTTATTTCTTTGTTTGTGAGACAGAGTCTCCCTCTTGTTGCCCAGGCTGGTCTCTAGCTCCTGGGGTCAAGTGGTCGTCCTGCCTCAGCCTCCCAAAGTGCTGGGATTACAGGTGTGAACCGCTGTACCTGATCCACGATTTTGATAAGTTTTGACTTATGAACATATACACAAAACCATTACCACAATCAAGACAGTGACAAGATCCACCAGCACCGCCTCCCAAATGTTCTCCTGTCTCTCTCTCTTTTTTTTTTTTGAGACATAGTCTCACTGTTGTCCAGGATTGCAAAGATATAATCTTCACCCATTGCAACCTTTGTCTCCCAGGTTCAAGTGATTCTCCTGCCTCAGCCTCCCGAGTAATTGGGATTACAGGTGTGCACCACCACGCCCATCTAATTTTTGTAGTTTTAGTAGAAATGGAGTTTCACCATGTTGGCCAGGCTGTTCTCCTAACCCCAAATGATCTGCCTGCCTTGGCCTTCCAAAGTGCTGGGATTCCAGGCAGAAGCCACTGTGCCCAGTCTTGTGTCCCTTTCTTATCACCACCTGCTTCCACTCTTCTTTGTCCCCGTGTCTCTACCTCCCAACTGTTAGTCCTGATCCAACGATTTTGTACATAAGGCCTCAGATTAGTCTAGAGTCGAGGAGACCTTGTTTCAAATCGCAGCTGTGTCACCTGGCTGCATGTTCTTTGCCAAGTTACATCACCTTGCTAAGCCTCGGACTTTAAGCAGAGATGTACCTCACAGGATTCTTGTTAGGATTAAATGAGATAATGCCTGAGAAGCTCTTAGCGTGGTAACTGGCACATCATAAGCACAAAGTAAATGCTTGTTAGGCTTTGTATTACTCAGGTTGCCAACTTACAATAGCTCAACTTAACATTTTTCAACTAGTATGAAAGCAGTATGCTGGTAGGAAAGCAGCAGACATCCAACAGAAACCACACTTCGAGTTCCCATACGACCATTCTTTTCTCACTTTCAGTACAGTATTTAATGCTACATTAGGTGTTCAACACTTACGATAGAAGACTTTATGTTGGACGGTTTTGCCCAACTGTAGGCTACTGTAAGTGCTCTGAGCACCTATAAGGTAGGCTAGGCTAAGCTAAGAGGTATGGAGGTTAGGTCAACTATTTTCACTTCAAGGTGGATTTATCGGGCATAGCCTGATCATAAGTGAAAAAGAATCTGTATTATTATTACAGCATTTGAAAATATCTTTCGGAAAATTTATTCCTATTACACTGCAGCTTCTCACCTCTCCTCCCTTCCTTCTCATTGATTTTTGTCTATCTTTGCTGTCTGTACTTTTTCAAGATGTCCGTTTTTATCATCAGGAGGCACCGTAGCATAGGGGCTGAGAACACAGGCCTTGGGGCCAGATTTCTTGGGTTCATTTCATGGCTCCATTATTGCCTCTCTGTGAGCCCTGGAGGAAGCTGGTTAACATCTCTGTGCCATGCCAACATCTCTGATTTTATCATTTGACCAAACTGTATAATAGTGATAATATCACACAAGGTTATGGTGAGGATTAAATAAGATGTTAAGTACTTAGACTAGAACCTGGTATTTACCAATCGTGATCATCATGTATTAGCTGTTTTCTGTAAGTGTAATAAAAATTATCTTTATGAATACCTTGTTCCAACTATGCCATCGCTGAGTTTAGAGCATCTGCGTCGTTCATCAAACATAAACTGAAGCCTGGTGTGATGGTGTGAGTCACTTGGGAGGCTGAGGCAGGAGGATCGCTTGACCCTGCTAGTTCAAGTTTAGTCCAGTTAACATAGTGAAACCCTATCTTTTAGAAAAACAAAACACATACTGAGTGCTTGCTTTATGCTACACAGTTAAGTTTAGACCTGGGACTACAACAGTAAACAGGTCCCTCACTTCCATGAGAGTCTAACTGGGAAGACAGGTAGTATACAAATGAACATCTTAGTGGCCAGGCGTGGTGGCTCACGCCTGTAATCCGAGCACTTTGGGAGGCCGAGGTGGGTGAATCACCTGGGGTCAGGAGTTCAAGACCAGCCTTGACAACATGGTTAAATCCCATCTCTACTAAAAGTACAAAAAATTAGTAGGGCATTGTGGCAGGCATCTGTAATCCTAGCTACTCAAGATACTGAGGCAAGAGAATTGCTTGAACCCAGGAGGCAGAGGTTGCAATGAGCTAATGAGCTGAGCTCACACTATTGCCCTCCAACCTGGGCATCAAGAGTGAAACTCCATCTCAAAAAATAATACACACACACGTAATATGACATCAGGTAGTGGTGAGTCCTCCGGTGGGAAATAGGAACTAACACGGGGTGTTTGGGGTAGGGTGATGAGGGTGGGGGCTACTCTGAGTAGAGAGCGGAATCAGGTGGGAAATGGGATGTGTAAGGAGCTAGGAGAAGAGGCTCTAGACAGAGGAACAGATGACTCAAATGTGGGTCCTGTGAGGCACAGCATTCCCTGTTGTGCCAGATTAATGTGGCATTCTGTGGGGCAGGCCTATGTGGAAATAGAATGAATGGGCTAACATAGAATAAACACCAAAACTCAACTGTGTCATCTTAGTGGGTTGGATTGAATAATGGTTTGCTTTATTCGAATGAAGTAAATTTAACCCATATAAAGTTTATGTTTTGAATACAAATCTGTATAACCCGATTTGTGAATTACTGTTATTTTCCCCAGTTTTATATTATAAAAATATCAATAAGCATATTACTTCAAAGTTCTATGATATGCTAGTACTAAACCTTTTTTTCTCTCTCAGATACTCAATTTCATCAACACCAGAAAATTTGGGATGTTTTTCAGATGAGTAAAGAACCAGGTAATATTTTCTATTTATAATTGAACGTTTGTATTTGATATTTTGGCTTGGACCCAGGAGGCAGAGGTGGGCTGAGATCGCACCACTGCACTCTAGCCTGGGTGACAGAGCAAGACGCCATCTCAAAAAAAAAAAAGAATAACAGTATGTTCCTCATTTCTTTCCAAAAGAGGTGATTATTTATTACACACCTTTATGGAAAATGAGAAGCATATTTCTTGGTGCCATGTCAGAAGTACTGGCAGCATTTGTGTGATTGATCATTATTGCTCTAGAATTATACAAAATGCTTATTAGTTTCAGGGTTCTGTGTAAACGTATTTACTGAAGACATTGTAGCTCTTTTGATTTTTCTTTTTGTTTCACTTTGGCAGGTGAAGATGTTGACCTTTTTGATATGAAACAATTCAAAAATTCATTTAAGAAAATTCTTCAGAGAGCATTAAAAAATGTAAGAAAAATCATCTTTTACATAAAATTTGCTACTTAGTGTTTTTTTGCTACTTAGTGTTTTTTTTGTAAGAAATTCAGTTAGTAATAGTTCATACTGTTCTACTCCATATCAAAGACACACTGTACATATTATAAAATCTTCCCTTTCCTCTCGCCTGTCCATTCAGGGGGTGATGCTTCCTTTTCAGGAGGAGCTCAATCCAATAGAGCGCTCTGCAGTGATGGAACTGCTGTTTATTGTCACTGTTCAGTTCAGCCACATGTGGCTGCTGAGCACTTGAAATGTGGCTAGTGTGACTGAGCAGCTGAATTTTTAATCTCTCTTTTTTTTTGAGACAGAGTCTCAGAGTTACCCAGGCTGGAGTGCAGTGGCGAGATCTCGGCTCACTGCAACCTCTGCCTCCTGGATTCAAGAAATTCTCCTGCCTCAGCCTCCTGTAGCTGGGACTACAGGCGTGCACCACTACGCCCAGCTACTTTTTGTATTTTTAGTAGAGACAGAGTTTCTCCATGTTGGCCAGGCTGGTCTTGAACTCCCAACCTCAGGTGATCTGCCTGCCTCAGCCTCCCAAAGTGCTGGAACTAGAGGTGTGTGCCACCATACCTGGCCTGAATTTTTAATCTTATTTAACTTTAATGATTTTACATTAAGTAGCCACATGGAGCTAATAGTTCCAGTAACGGTCGGTGCACATCTGAAGCACCCTTGATTTTACAGATGTTTTTGCTTTTGTAATGTGAAACAAAGAAGCTATTCAGAATAAGATGCTCTTGCATTCAAGCTAGTAGAGGCCTACTGAGCACGTGACTGGGGCCAAGCTCTGTGCTGCTCACCCAAGACAGTCACACAGCTCTGCGCCACCATACCCTGGACTGGGGAGACTTCCTTGTCTCCTGGACTGAGGGAATTCAGAAAAGGAGCTAAATAAAGAGGGGGCAGAATTTGCTAGTGCCACCATAACAACCCACTTTTCCTAGAACAAGATCTCAGCGGGAGGAAATAGAGACGTGGGCGAGCCATGTGCATTTCACTCAAGTTCCTCATTTCCAGGCTCAGAGCTTTAAAGTGAAGCTGAATCAGAGGGGAGCTGAGAATCCAGGAGCAGGCTATTAAATTCCAGACCAACTGGCAACCATACATAACAGTTTGGAAGGGCCTGTATTTTATCCGTGAAATGGATACAGGGTAGTACTTCCTCTGGTCTCGCCATATAACATTCCTGTAGAGGAGTTTTTAGCTTCTGAGCTAAATGCATAAGAGCATTAGGAATAGTATATTTTTAAGCTCATTATTACACAGAAATCTTATTTTTCTTTTTTTTTCCTTTTTTTTTTTTTAACAAGACATGGTCTCACTCTGTTGCCCAGGCTGGAATGCACTGACATGATCTTGGCTCATGATAGCCTCGACCTCGCAGGCTCAAACCATCCTCCCACCTCAGCCTCTCCAGTAGCTGGGACTATAGGCACATGCCACCGGGCCTGGCTTTTTTTGTGTGTGTTTTTTTTTTTCGTAGAGATGGAGTTTCACTACACTAGCCAGGTTGGTCTCAAACTCTTGCGTTTAAGCGATCCTCCTACCTCAGCCTCCCAAAGTGCTGGGATTACAGGCATGAGCCACAACACCTGACTTAATTACATAGAAATCTTACTGTTGAACTTGATAGTGGGTGCTAGGTCTGTGCTAGATACTGAAAAGTGTTCATTATAAAACAAGTATCTCATTTGTAAGGCTGCCTTACCTCATAAACTCTTACAGCTGGAAGAGCAGTTTTCAGGACAAGCCCAAGAAATTATTTTTCTCTACAGAAAACTTTTTTTTTTTTTTTTTTAATTAGCCAGGCATGATGGCATATTCCTGTAGTCCCAGCTACTAGGGAGGCTGGGGTGGGAGGATGGCTTGAGCCCAGGAAGGCGAGGCTGCAGTGAGTGAGCTATGATCATGCCACAGCCTTCCAGGCTGAGCAACAGAGGAAGACCCAGTCTCAAAAGGAAAAAAAAGGATTTTTTTTTTTAATCACAAAATGTTTTCCCAAAAATTCCCAAAATACTCATGAAAAGGAGAAAAGACTGCAGGTCTCAACCTGCATGCAAGATCATAGGGACATCATCACTTACCCCTAAAAATCACCTGGAGTTGGTGCCACAGTGAGATTTTAATTAGGAAACTTAATCCTTTTTTTTTTTTTTAAATAAGGTGACAGTCAGCTTCAGAGAAACTGAGGAGAATGCAGTCTGGATTCGAATCGCCTGGGGAACACAGTACACAAAGCCAAACCAGTACAAACCTACCTATGTGGTATACTACTCCCAGACTCCGTACGCCTTCACGTCCTCCAGGCTGAGGCGCAATGCACCACTTCTGGGTCAGGTATGGAACAAATTATCACAAGCTGTAACATTTTGTTATCCTTATCTCAAAGGTCTATATAGATTGTAACTGCTCAATAAGTATTTGATACAGAATACCAGGTGAGGTATAGTGGCATGTACCTGTGGTCCCAGCTATTTGGGAGGCTGAAGTGGGAGAATTGCTTGTGCCCAGGATTCCAAGGCTGTAATGAGCTGTGATCACAAGACAAAGCAACACAGCACCTCTAAAAAAAAAAAAGATACAGAATACTACATTTAATTCTTGTTCTCTTAAAATAAGAAACAGAGAGTGTTGTTATCTGCAGATGGGAACATGGCATAAGATATTAGTTTGGAGCTATACTTTATTGTTTTTTGATCTAGAAATAATTCGTGCTTAATATAAAAAAAAGGCAACCAATACAGAAGTCTCTAAAGATAGAAAGTCTTCAAAGCTTCATACTGTTGCATTCATTCAAAATGACTACTGTCAGAGTTTGCTATTTCCTTTGACAAGATGTTTATTAGAAAAGCCAGGGCAGGCCGGGTGTGGTGGTTCATGCCTGTAACCCCAGCACTTTGGGAGGCTAAGGCAGGTGGATCACCTGAGGTCAGGAGCTCAAGACCAGACTGGCCAACATGGTGAAACCCCGTCTCTATTAAAAATATAAAAAAATTAGCCGAGATGGTGGTGCACGCATGTAACCCCAGCTACTTGGGAAACTGAGGCAGGAAAATCACTTGAACCTGGGAGGTGGTGGTTGCAGTGAGCTAAAATTGTGCCATTGCACTCCATCCTGGGTAACAAGAAAGAAACCCAAAAAAAGAAATTCAACAGAACATTTCTACATGGTTACAAATGAATATACCTCATTGCTTTTTCATAACTGTATAATCTGCCTATTGATGAACATCACTTTCATTTGTAACCATTTCTCCCACATTCCATACACAAGGAGACTGCTTTAAGCTAAGATGTAGCCTCTGTTCAGAGCCTGCTTCTCTTTATGGTTCTGCCCTTAATATCACAAGCTTCCTAGGATCTTTCCCCAGAGTAAGTTCTCCCTATATTGGTGTGGCAATTGCTGCTGCCACTATTAGCATTCACAACCACAGTGGTACCTTCTATTGGTTCCAGAGCTGCCACATCAGCCGGTTGAAGTGAGTAGCTTCGCCATGCTGGCTGCATCACCTCCTGTCACTACACACAGCACAGCTGGGTACAGAGCTGGGTGGAGCTGCTGTGTGGACTCCAGTGTTGTGACCAGGCGAGCCCTGGGATCCCTGTGACTCTACTTGCTTGTCATTTAAGCTTTTTGGTGGTTTATTGAAATGGCAAAGACTGCTACTCAATTCTATTTCCTTTTAACACTTCTTTACATTTGGGGTCTCCTCCTCCGTGACACATCGTAGTCTTTCATTCAGTTACATCTAGGTAGTTTAAACATTATCTTACCACAGGTAGTTTAAACATTACCCCAAAGGCTAATGTTCTTTTTTTTTTTTTTGAGACAGAGTCTTGCCCTATCGCCCAGGCTGGGGTACAGTGGGGCACGATCTTGGCTCACTGCACCCTCCACCTCTGAGGTTCAATCAATTTTCCTGCCTCAGCCTCCCCAGTAGCTGGGACTACAGGTACTCACCACCATGCCTGGCTAATGTATTTTTGTATTTTTAGTGGAGACGGAGTTTCACCTTACTGGCCAGGCTGGTCTTGAACTCCTGACCTCAAGTAATATACCCGCCTCGGCCTGCCAAAGCACTGGGATTACAGGCGTGAGCCACCACTCGGACTAATGTTCATTTCTATTGTGCATCTTAAGGCAAACTTGTCTCTATTCTCTAGATCCAAGTAAACATCTTAACCTATCCCAGTAATTCTGTTTCAGTCTTCTTTTTTCCTAAGTTGTAGTCAATACACACGTTTTTCTTCAGTATTTGCCCTAAAGCACACATACCTGCATTTCTGTATGGCAGTATCATTAGAGTATTAGATGACCGGTATTCAAAAACAGTAACATTTTGAGTATTTATCTTTTATTCCTAAGTCCGAACTTGATTTATTATAACTCCTAACTTTAAACAGCATCACTTTTCTAAAAATAAGATACAAAACACTGCATTTATGAGAATCTTAATGGCACTGACCACTCTGCTTTTGAAATTAGTAACAGGCTGTCAGATTTTTTGCTAGACTTCTTTTTACACTTAAGGGGAAACTATTCACTAATTGCAGTTCTTAACATTTTACTTTGACAAATATTTCAGACACAGAGACAGTAATCCTAATAATAGTCTTGCACATTTTCATTTCAAGGCACTGACAGTTGCTAGCAAACACCATCAGATTGTGAAAATGGACCTGAGAAGTCGATATCTGGACTCCCTTAAGGCTATTGTTTTTAAACAGTATAATCAGGTGAGCCAATCTGTGACTCTCTTTAAAGGTAAATCTTTATTTTCTCTTTCACACAGGAGTTAGAAGCTAGTGGGAAAAGTCACTGCTGGGAAAATCTCCCTCTGACAAGAGGAGATCACTTTAGATATAACTGAAATGAAGAAAGCTTGCTATTAGTGAGCATGAAAGGAAAATAAAAATCCCTCACAGTCATCTTTTTATAATTGTATTGTGTTTTATACCAGTCATTAGTCATTGGAGTCTATGTTGGATCTCAGCTTCCAAATCAGCTAATCCCCCTAGAATTTGTTTTTTCTTTAGAGTAATTTCACATTGTCTTTTGAAGCTAAATACATTATTCTATCAAACAACAGAAAAGTGTAATTAGTTTTTTGTCCCATCAGTCTAGCACGTTATATAGGCAATGGAATTAAAGAGAAAAGCTGTGTTTTTTTTAAGTCCCAAAATTCATTTGTTAAAATGATTGGAATGTAATGTTCCCCTCTAATGACAAGTATAGATCTGTCCTTACAGTGCAGGGGTGTTTTTTCAAACTATGCACGACAAATGTCTGCATATGTGTTGAGACCCCTGTGGTGGATTGTTAATGTGCTGTGTATATCTTTGAGCCATTAGAGATGTTATAGTTATACATTTTCATCTGTTCTAAGCAGAAAGAAGTGATGCTCTCTGCAAGTAGTCCCTCTTTAAGGAAAAACTAGCATTACGAAGTTTTGTCAGCCAGGCACGGTGACTCACGCCTGTATTCCCAGCACTTGGGGAGGCTGAGGCGGACAGATCACCTGAGGTCAGGAGTTCAAGATCAGGCTGACCAACATGGAGAAAGCCATCTCTACTAAAAATAAAAAATTACCTGGGCATGGTGGCGGATGCCTGTAATTCCAGCTATTTGGGAGGCTGAGGCAGACAGATCACCTGAGGTCAGGAGTTCGAGATCAGGCTGACCAACATGGAGAAAGCCATCTCTACTAAAAATATAAAATTACCTGGGCATGGTGGCGGATGCCTGTAATCCCAGCTATTTGGGAGGCTGAATCAGGAGAATCACTTGCACCCAGGAGGTGGAGGTGGCAGTGACCCAAGATTATGCCATTGCACTCCAGCCTAGGCAACAAGAGCAAAACTCCATCTCAAAAAAAAAAAAAAGTTATATCATGAGGCCAGGCACAGTGGTTCACACCTGTAATCCAGCACTTTAGGAGGCCAAGGTGGGAAGATTGCTTCAGCCCACGATTTCGAGACCAGCCTGGGCAACACAGGGAGACCCCATCTCTACAAAATAAAAAATAAATAATTTTTTTAAGTTAAATCATGATTTTATTCTCTAACCATTCCCTCCTACCTACTACCTTCCACCAAATTGATATAAACTATTCTGCTGTCATAGGACAATAGTGGCCGGGCACAGTGGCTCACGCCTGTACCCCTAGCTCTTTGGGAGGCAAAGAATCCCTTGAGCCCAGGACTTCAAGACCAGCTTGGGCAATATGGCAAAACCCCGTCTCTACCAAAAATACAACGAATAGCCAGGTGTGGTGGCATGTGCCTGTAATCCCAGCTACCATAGCCCAGGGAGATTGAGGTTACAGTGAGCTGCGATTACGCCACTTCACTCCAGCCTGGGTAAAAGAATGAGATATTGTCTCAAAAACAAAAAAATCACAACAGCATTCTTAGGAAAATCCATATTGTCAAGCACTGAACTATAAAAACTGTGGCTTCAGTGGGCAAACATAGGAGAAGGGGTTCAGGAGATTCAGACTTATAGTAGGAAGGTTATGTTTCCAAAAGCAATCTCAGTAAGTTTTTTAGGGTTGTGAAGGTTAAGCACTGACAATGCTGACATACCACAGTGCAAATGCTTCTGTTGGTTCCTTGGGCTTTGCACTTGCCAGATCCATTTCTTTGTCTTTGTCTTTTTTTTTTTTTTGAGACGGAGTTTCGCTCTTGTTACCCAGGCTGGAGTGCAATGGCGCGATCTCGGCTCACCGCAACCTCTGCCTCCTGGGTTCAGGCAATTCTCCTGCCTCAGCCTCCTGGGTAGCTGGGATTACAGGCACGTGCTACCAGGCCCAGCTAATTTTTTGTATTATTTTAGTAGAGATGGGGTTTTGCCATGTTGACCAGGATGGTCTCGATCTCTTGACCTTGTGATCCACCCGCCTCGGCCTCCCAAAGTGCTGGGATTACAAGCGTGAGCCACCGCGCCCAGCCCTTTCTTTTTCATTTTTTTTTTTGAGATGGCATTTTGCTCTTGTTGCCCAGGCTGGAGTGATCTCGGCTCACCGCAACCTCCCCCTCCCAGGTTCAAGCGATTCTCCTGCCTCAGCCTCCCAAGTAGTTGGGACTACAGGTGTGTGCCACCACGCCCGGCTAATTTTTTGTGTGTTTTTGGTAGAGACGGGGTTTCACCGTGTTTGCCAGGATGGTCTCGATCTCCTCATGTGATCCACCCGCCTTGGCCTCACAAAGTGCTGGGATTACAGGTGCGAGCCACCAAGCCCGACTCACCAGATCCATTTCTGGGATAACAAAGTACAGAGCTCCTCAAACGGAACAGTCGAGCTGCAGTCCCAGCAGCCTCCTTATCAGTGTCCTGCTCAACTCAGCCAGGATATGGCCTCAGACCTTTTAGTTGAAAAAAAAAAATTTTTGGCATACTTTAATATTCTAAAACCAATTAATATGTATACTTCAGTATGTCAAAATTAGTAAAACATTCACTTTTTTTTTTTCCTAGATCTTCGAAAGTCACAATTCTACAACACCTCTACAGGAAAGAAACCTTGGACTAGATGTAAATAGTATGTGTGTTTTAATATAAAACTGAATTTTGGAACTGCATCATTCCCTTATAGATTTCTGTCACTTGGTAAACCATGTATACTGGGATTCTAATTCGATACTACGTATTTTCAGAAAAATTGAAAATTGAGTATCTGCTGAAGGAGGAAAGCTAGTCTGCCGTGGGTCTCCATTAGGGTTTACTGCAGTAACAATAAACAACAAAACAATCATGACAAAAACAAAAACTAGCCAACAGTTGCTGAGCATGTCTTGTGTGCCAGGCACCACACTAAGATGATGATATGTATTCTTTCCTTAGTCTTCGCAGTAGTCCTGTGAATTAGTGCTATTTATTGGTTTGGTAACTCTCTGGGCAAAGTCACACAGCTAAGGAATGGAAAAGCCAGCTATGAAATCCGGGTGTGTTTGAGTCTGGAGCCCATGCTGTTAATGCACTGAATAAACTTCTAGAACAATCAGAATCTAACTATATTGCTACTCAAAGATGACTGAAGACTCTCACTAGAAAACCCAAGCAAACAGAGTAGAGAACTACTAATTTATATTACTTTAGTAAATTCACAAAAATGGTGGGATAAAATATAAATTCATTAAAAAAATGAAAACTTTCCTATCTCTTAGTAAAGATTTGGCAATGAAACAAAACAGTGCCACTGTTATAAAGTAAACACTTTTATGATTTGCCAACGTCATATGAACTGCTGTTGATCTCATTTTAGGTAAAGAAAGCAGGATATAAAATTGTGGGTACTTTATGATTCCAGTTTTTAAAATACATAGATGAGGCCAGGAGCAATGGTATGCAACTGTGGTTTCAACTACTTGGGAAGCTGAGGTGGGAAGATTGCTTGAGCCCAGGAGATCCAGTACAGACTGGGCAACATAGTCAGACCCCATCTCTTAGAAAAAAAAAAATACATATAGGCACCATGGCTCACACCTGCAATCCAATACTTCAGGGGGCTGAGGTGGGCAGATCACTTGAGGTCAGGAGTTTGAGACCTGGCCAACATGGTGAAACCCCATCTTTACTAAAAATACAAAATTAGTCAGGCATGGTGGTGCACGCCTGTAATCCCAGCTACTTAGGAGTCTGAGGCACGAGAATCACTTGAACATGGGAGATGAAGGTTGTAGTGAGCTGAGATTGCGCCATTGCACCCCAGCCTAGATGACAGAGCAAGACTCCATCTCTAAACACACACACACACACATATATATGCATCTTTATTTTTATTAACTGTAAAAAGAGCTAGGCAAAAATATACTAAAATGCTAAAAGTGCTTATTTCTGGGTGGTAGAATTAGGACTTTTTTTTTCTCTTATCAACCTGTACTTTCTACCTTCCCTACAATAAGAAATTGTTACATAAAAAGAAGCAGCAGTAAATATTATTTTAAAATCATACAAATAATTTGAAGGGTTGGGAATGAAAGGAGGATAATTTAAGGATGAAATATATTCCTAATGGCTGTTTTATTTGAAATCTTCCACCTATAGTGGATTCAAGGATCATTCATGAAAACATAGTAGAAAAAGAGAGAGTCCAACAAATAACTCAAGAAACATTTGGAGATTATCCTCAACCACAACTAGAATTTGCACAGTATAAGGTAAGAAGACATAGTAATAAATATTAACTAGTGAATATTAAGACATCAACCTTGTTTAAAAAGAACAAAAACCTTAAGTGAAAAACAGATCTAAGAAATTATTCCTCTTTCATGTATCACTTCAATTTCATGTAATAAATTTATGAATTAAATAGACCTCTTTATTGTATTTATAAGTTCTTCTGTTAGCATAGGAGATCTTTATGAATTTGAGCCTGGTGTGGTAGCTCACGCCTGTAATTTCAGCACTTTGGGAGGCCAAGACAGGTGGATCACCTGAGGTCAGGAGTTTGACACCAGCCTGGTCAACATGGTGAAACCCTGTCTCTACTAAAAATATAAAAACCAGCTGGGCACAGTGGCTCACACCTGTAATCCTAGCACTTTGGGAGGCTGAGACGGGTGGATCACAAGGTCAGGAGATTGAGACCATACTGGCTAACACGGTGAAACCCCGTCTCTACTAAAAATACAAAATATTAGCTGGGTGTTGTGGCATGCACCTGTAGTCCCAGCTACTCGGGAGGCTGAGGTAGGAGAATCGCTTGAACCCGGAGGCAGAGGTTGCAGTGAGCTGAGATCGCGCTGCTACACTCCAGCTTAGGTGACAGAGTGAGACTCCATCTCAAAAAAAAAAGAAAAAATTAGCCAGATGCAGTGGTGCATGCCTGTAATCCCAACTATTCAGGAGGCTGAGGCAGAAGAATCACGTGAACCCAGGAGGTGGAGGTTACAGTGAGCCAAGATTGTGCCACTGCACTTCAGCCTGGCAGACAGAGCGAGACTCCATTAAAAAAAAAAAAGAAATTATAAATTTGCCTTTTTTGTTTCATCTTACATATTAATGCAGTTATGCATAACTGGCTGTAATCTGTATATCTGAGGGGGAAAAAATGTAGATTATACCGTTCTAGTCCATCTACTCCTAGAAAAGTACTTGGCCCATAACAGATGCTCATAAATACTTGCTGAATAAAATAATGAATCAGTAAGTCATTACATAGCCCAGCTGGCATCACATGGAGAAAAGCCAGTAACCTAGGCAGTACCACAAATGTGGCTCGTTCCAGAAGTGTGCCTTCCAGACATGTGCTGCTGCCCACCAGGAAGGCCAGGGCAGGTGGCTACAGGTGTTTAACGCAAACCCACTGCCACCATTAGGAGAACCGGAGGTTTATATTGTGATCACTCTGATTTCACTCCATGCTCATACTCAAAACGCCTTTCTGTCCCCAAGCCCTCCAACCGATTTTTTTTTCTCTTTAGCCTTTCTATAGCTACAAGCCACACTTTAAATCCGCCATTGATCTGCTCACTTAAGCCCAAAGCCTGTTTGATTGGATTTATTTTTAGTGGGAGAAATGGATTGACACTTTTCAAGTTGGGTCCCTAATGGCAGGCTTTGAACTAGTTCCTTCAGTTTATAATCTAGGATAGTGGTTCTCAAATGTAGTCCCTAGCATAACAGTATCAGCATCCCTTGGGAATGGGTGGAAATGCCAATTCTTGGCCCCACCCTAGTCCTACCAAACTGGGGAAGGTGGGACCCTCACAAGCCCTCTAAGCTGATTCTGCACACACAAACATGAGAACCACTGGTCTAGGATGCAGAAAATATGATTTGAGCATTTTTTTTTTTTAAGATGGAGTTTCGCTCTTATTGCCCAGGCTGGAGTGCAATGGTGCAATCTCAGCTCACCACAACCTCCAGGTTCAAGCAGTTCTCCTGCTTCAGCCTCATGATTACAGGCATACACCACCACGCCAGGGATTACAGGCATGCACCACCACGCCCAGCTAATCTTGTATTTTAGTAGAGACAGGGTTTTTCCCTGTTGGTTAGGCTGTTCTTGAACTACCGATCTCAGGTGATCCACCCGAATTGGCCTCCCATAGTGCTGGGATTACAGGCGTGAGTCACCGCACCTGGCCACAAGTTGATCATTATTTCCCCTGGGTGATCTGCATATGAAACTCCTTACTTTTGTAAATGTTTAAAATCTTCTATAATTAGAAGTTAAAAAGAAATCTCAGCTGGGTGCAGTGGCTCACACCCATAACCCCAGCACTTTGGGAGGCTGAGGCAGGAAGATTCCTTGAACCCAGGAGATTGAGACCAGCCTGGGTAACATGGCGAATCCCTGTCTCTACAGAAATTCAAAACTACAGGGCGTGGTGACATGTGGCTGTAGTCCCAGCTGCTTTTGCTGAGGCGGGAGGATGGCTTGAGCCAAGGAGGTGGGGGCTGCAGTGAACCATGTTCACACCACTCCAGCTTGAGCAACCAAGTGAGACTCTGTCTCAGAAAAGAAAGAAATCTCATTGTGACTCAAAACAAAATGGTATATTTACATTAAAATTACAGATTGGAGAAGATAACACTAATTTACCATTAAGAATACAAATTGTAAAGGGCACCTGAGGGCAAAATTGTAAAGGGCACCTGAAGGCGGAACTGACGGTTAACATCTCCCATGTGGCAGGCACTGTGCATGCTGGCATTTTGCCTTGGATGTTGTTTGATATACCAGTTGCCCTCTATGTTTTTTCTTCTTTTTTTTTCTGAGATGGAGTCTCACTTTGTTGCCCAGGCTGGAGTACAGTGGCACCATCTTGCCTCACTGCAGACTCTGCCTCCTGGGTTCAAGCAATTACCTGGGATTACAGTTACACACTACCATGCCCAGGTAATTTTTGTATTTTTAGTAGAGACGGAGTTTCACCATGTTAGCCAGGCTGGTCTCAAACTCCTGGCCTGAAGTGATCCACCCACCTTGGCCTCCCCAAAGTGCTGGGATTACAGGTGTGAGCCACCATGCCCTGCCTGCCCTCTATGTTTGCAGTTAGCAAATTAAATGGTCCCCACCCCTGTTAATTCCAGTATTTCTTAATGGCAAGAACTAATAAAATGTATCGTTCTGATTTCACTGTATTTCACCGTTCATACAATACATTTAATAGTCACTTATAAATATGTTTGTTGACAGCTTGAAACGAAATTCAAAAGTGATTTAAATGGGAGCATTTTGGCTGAGAGGGAAGAACCCCTCCGATGCCTGATAAAGTTCTCTAGCCCACATCTTCTGGAAGCATTGAAATCCTTAGCACCAGCTGGTGAGTGGTCAGCTTACTTTATAAGCTAGAAAAGTTAACAACATGCCTCCATTCTGTCCTCATAATCTGCTGACTAATTACTTCTGAGCTCTCCTGTCACCCAGTCTGCTAGCCCGTCATGCTCTATCTTGCATCTTCTGCTTCTGTACTTAATGGGGAGGGGGGCCATCCATGATCCACCCTCTAATCTCGGCCATTTTTAAACTGACTGCAATCCATCCTTCTGTGATGACTTTTAATTTTCTTTTTTCCTTTTTTTAATTTAAATTTCAGGTATTGCAGATGCACCCCTTTCTCCACTGCTCACTTGCATACCCAACAAGAGAATGAATTATTTTAAAATTAGAGATAAATAAGCCGTGTGTGGTTTCATACACACAGCTCCTCCTTCATGACATTTCACGTGCACTTCCATTAATGGCTGGCTGTACAGCTTCTGTCTGTAGACTTGTATTTTAGAGAATCCTTGTTATTAAATTTTTAGAAATGCTCACATAATTGTTGGGACTGATTCATTCCTCCACGATATGCATCCTGTCTCGCATACCCTGCTAACTAACAGTTGTGGCCTTTGAGATAACAGGACATAGGTATATATGGCTCCACACTTGACCTTGAGTGCTTGAATGCTCTGAAATCAAGCATTTGGCACAGGGCTGGAGACTTTGGGGCTTGTGTTCTTTTTCCCACTATTGTCTCTTCTTGATTCTGGGGAGGTCTGATTCCAGCCGCTGGTTTCCAGGGATTGATTCTTAAGCCTTAGATCCACAGAAAGAAGCAAAAGGAAACTATACTTACTCAAAACTTTTTAAAACAATCATGAAAATGGTCCATTCAAAGGACAGAGTTGAGTCCACTGTGCTATTGTTGCAAGGGCTTGCATATTTGGTGAGTCAGTTATATAAAATAATATTCTTGTTGTAAATATGATACTTTTCATAATTGTTTTATCATGTATATAACATTCAAACTGACAAATATTATACTGATTTATGAATAAAGATATAAAAACACCGGCACATCAGTGACTTTTGATGAAAGTCTTTCGGTGATCATCACTAAATACCATGTTTTTTTAAAAATGTTTTCTAATTTTTTGTTTGTTATTTATTTTTTGAGAGAGAATCTCGCTCTGTCACCCAAGCTGGAGTGCAGTGGCATGATCACGGCTCACTGCAGCCTTGCCCTCCCAAGCCCTTAGTCTCCCAAATAACTGGGATTACAGACACGCTCCGCCATGCCCAGCTAATTTTTTTTTTTTTTTTTTGACAGAATCTTTCTGTCGCCCAGGCTGGAGTGCAATGGCATGATCTCCACCTCCACCTCCCAGGTTCAAGCCATTCTCTTGCCTCAGCCTCTGAGTAGCTGGGATTATAGGCATGCACCACTATGCCCAGCTAATTTTTGTATTTCTAGTAGAGAAACGGTATCACTGTGTTTTCCAGGCTGCACTCAAACTCCTGGGCTCAAGCGACCCTCTAACCTCAGCCTCCTGAGTAGCTGGGACTACAAGTATAAGCCACTGTGCTCAGCGTTTTGATTATTTTAAACCTTTGATATTTGACAGGCTTACCAAAATCAAAATTCTATTCTTTTTTTTTTTGAGATGGAGTCTTACTCTGTCACCCAGGCTGGAGCGCAGTGGTACAGTCTCGGCTTACTGTCACCCAGGCTGGAGCACAGTGGTACAGTCTCGGCTTACTGTCACCCAGGCTGGAGCGCAGTGGTACAGTCTCGGCTTACTGTCACCCAGGCTGGAGCGCAGTGGTGCAGTCTTGGCTTAATGTCACACAGGCTGGAGCGCAGTGGTGCAGTCTCGGCTTACTGTCACCCAGGCTGGAGCGCAGTGGTGCAGTCTCGGCTTACTGTCACCCAGGCTGGAGCGCAGTGGTGCAGTCTCGGCTTACTGTCACCCAGGCTGGAGCGCAGTGGTGCAGTCTTGGCTTAATGTCACACAGGCTGGAGCGCAGTGGTGCAGTCTCAGCTTACTGTCACCCAGGCTGGAGTGTACAGTCTCGGCTTACTGTCACCCAGGCTGGAGTGTACAGCCTCGGCTTACTGTCACCCAGGCTGGAGTGCAGTGTACAGTCTTGGCTTACTGTCACCCAGGCTGGAGTGTACAGTCTCGGCTTACTGTCACCCAGGCTGGAGCACAGTAGTGCACTCTCGGCTTACTGTCACCCAGGCTGGAGTGCAGTGGTGCAATCTCGGCTTAATGGAACTTCCACTTCCCAGGTTTAAGCGATTCTCCTCCCTCAGCCTCCCAAGTAGCCAGGATGACAGGTGCTCACCACTACGCCCGGCTAATTTTTGTTTGTTTGTTTCGTTTTATTTGAGACAGAGTCTTGTTCTGTTGCCCAGGTTGGCGTGCAATGGCACGATCTCTGCTCACTGCAACCTTTGCCTCCCAGGTTCAAGCAATTCTCCTGCCCCAGCCTCCTGAGTAGATGAGATTACAGGCACATGCCACCACACCCAGCTAATTTTTGTATTTTTAGTAGAGACAGGGTTTCACCATGTTGGCCAGGCTGGTCTCGAACTCCTGACCTTGTGATTTCCCCACATTGGCCTCCCAAAGTGCTGGGATTACAGGTGTGAGCCACCACACCTGGCTAAAATTCTATTCTATTTAACTTGATTTTTCTCTTCACGGCCAGCTCACTCTTTGGTTTGTCAAACTTCGAGGGAAATTTCAGACTAGAAAATATTGAGGCACAGAAAATGATGGATGGTACTTGGGCATGCAGGGTGCTTTTGAAAATGGAAAGGCCTAAGAAATAAGACTAGAGTCAAGGTCCCTGTAACCTTGTCTTATTCTTGCCTCAACCAAGGAACTCCCTCTGGAATTTCCTTGTCTAAGAAAGCTTCTTACCAAAAGAAACACAAATGCCCTCTATTCTTTCCTTCAAATCTCATTATCTATCAAAGAAATGAAGACTGAAGAATACAGCCACACATGGATGGACTTTTTCATAAGGCCTGCCCTTCAGGCTTATTCAGATTCCAAAGAGAATCATTTACAAGTTAATTTCTGTCTCTTTGGTCCATTTATTCTCCCTGAAAATCATTTACTGTTCCTCAAAAGCATTGTATACATTCCCTGGCCAGGTGGCTCACGCCTGTAAACCCAGCACTTTGGGAGGCCGAGGTGGGTGGATCACGAGGTCAAGAGATGGAGACCATCCTGGTCAACAAAGTGAAACCCCATCTCTACTAAAAATACAAAAATTAGCTGGGTGTGGTGGTACGCGCCTGTAGTCCCAGCTACTTGGGAGGCTGAGGCAGAAGAATTGCTTGAACCCAGAAGGCAGAGGTTGCCGTGAGCCGAGATCATGCCATTGCACTCCAGTCTGGGTAACAACAGCGAAACTCCATCTCAAAAAAAAAAAAAAAAAGAATTGAAGGCCGGGCGTAGTGGCTCACGCCTGTAATCGAAGCACTTTGGAGGCCAAGGCAGGCGGATCACCTGAGGGTGGGAGTTCAAGACCTGCCTGACCAACATGGTGAAACCCCATTTAAAAAAAAAAAAAAAAAAGAATTGTATACATTCCCTATCTCCTTATAGCCCTATGAAAAAGGGTATATAAGCATCCACACCCCATTGTGGGTTGGAGGATATAATCACTCTGTGATTCCTCCACTTCTCCCCTAGGCATATTAATAAAGCTTGTATGCCTTTTCTCCTATTAATCCATTTTTTATCAGTTGATTTTCAGTGCATTTTTTTAGCAGGATCCAAAAGCTGCTCTGCTCTTCTGGAAGCCACAGTCAAGGGACCCAGGACTTGAGCAGCTGGCAGAAGGGATTGTACCTTCTGTATGTCCCATTGTATCTATGTTAAAATCATGATGTCACAGCATTTAGACATGGTTAATCAAATGTATGCCCCTCCTTATATACAGCTAACTGCTATAGACTAATGCAGTCCTCCTTGTTAAAATGGACCCCTTGTTTACTCAAATTTGACCAATCTTGGAAGCACTGATTTGACTACCCCATTTGTAGGACATTGACACTGTAGAAACAGGTGTTTCTAACTCTAAGGGAAACAGATAACTAGTCTGTGGCCAACCGACGAGTGATTTATCAGCTCTGCTATCTTGGATCTTGATCAAAAGAGGGAAATGTGAAATGTGGTATACAAAATGGCATCAATTTGGTTCAGAGCTCTAAAATGGAGTCGGGAGGCCATTCTAAGAAGGACTTGCCTGCACAATCTGCAACTTAGAAAACACAAAAACAAAAAATATGAACTTGCCATGAAGCTTTGAACTTGCAAAACTGCAATAACCACTACATCCTGGAAAACTGAATTTCGCCAGTGTTACAACTCCTCAACAGCGACAGCCGGTAAACTGTGGATTCATGTACTAAGCCATTTCTCTCCTCCAGTGATAATTCTTTCAAAACAACTCGTGTAATAACCCTCTGCTTTCTTTTAAAAACCTCTACTTCTCTCCCTCTTTTCAGAACCAAGTTTGGCTTCTAGGTGAATGTGTGTCTCCCAAATTGCAATTTCTATGACCCCAATAAAAATCCCTTGTTAGGCCGGATGTGGTAGCTTGTGCCTATAATCCCAGCACTTTTGGATGCTGAGGCAGGTGGATCCCTTAAGCTCAGGAGGTCAAAACCAGCCTGGCCAACATGGCAAAAGCCTGTCTCTTTTCTTTTCTTTTTTTTTTTAATTAAAAAAAAAAAATTGCCTTCTCTCAATGCTTTGCAGTGTGGGCTTTCACGTCTTGGTTGACATAAGCAGTCAGTTCTGCAGCAGATACCAGCTGCTTGTGCTTCAGTTCAATCCAACACTAACTACCTGGAGATATCATCAGACCCCCACAGGTTAAGGGCTCAGTCTCACAAAGCTGCCACCCACTTCTGAGGCCAGCTACCAGCCCCAGGTTCTTTCACCTGCACTTCTGAGTAACCAGTTATAAATTGCATTTCCCACAGCCCTCTGTTCATGGTCAATTAGTTTGCTAGAGCAGCTCACAGAACTCAGGAAATCACATTGACTGACTTATGAGGGATGTGACAAAGGATTCAGATGAAGAGATGCTCAGGGCAAGGCTTATGGGAAGGGACATGAAGCTTCCATTCATGCCCTCTCTGACGGTGCCTCCCTCCAGGAAACTTCATGCATTCAGCTATCTGGAAGCTCTCCAAACCTAGTTCGTTTGGGATTTTATAGAACCTTCATTACATAGGAATGACTGATCAGCTTAAGCTTCAGCCCCTGTCTCCTCCCCAGAGGTTGAGGGTGAGGACTGAAAGTTCCAAGCCTCTAATGCTGTCTCCGTCTCTGCAGTGACCAGTCTCATCCTAAAGCTACCTAGGCTCTAGTCATCAGTCAACTCATTTGCATACAAAAAGACGCTTATCACTTTGCTGATTCCAGGGATTTTAGGAATTGCATGCCAGGACAAAGACCATGATATACACTTCACGTTATCACAGTTAGGTTGCAAGGCAAAGGGACTTGGCCGTCGGAGAAATTATCCTGGGTGACTTGAATGGGCCCAATGTCATCACAAGGGGCCTCAAGAATAGAAGAGTCAGAGGGATGTGATAAAGACTCAACTCACCATTACTGATTCTGGAGATAGAGGAAGGGGCCACAAGCCAAGGAAGGCAGGCATCCTCTAGAAGCTGGGAAAGGCAAGTAAACAGATTCTCCCCTGGAGCCTCCAGAAGGAATACAGCCCTGCTGACACCTTGATCTTAGCCCAGCAGACTCATTTCTTTTGACATCCAGAGCTGTAAGATAATAAATTTGTGTTAAGGCAGTAAGTTTGTGGTAATTTATTAATAGCAAGAGAAAATGAATATAGCTGCTAGTATGTAAAAGTTGGAAGTTTTCACATAAAACTCTAGCCACACCAAAGATGAGTTGCAGCTGCCTCCTTTTAATAAAGGATGTTTCATTGCAGTCCTCACCCCCTCCCTTTTGTCTACCCCAGCCCCCTATGCCCATTTACATGACCTATCCAGACTAAGTATTTAAGTTTTAGAATCATGTACTGAACTGCAGTGTCTCCCAAACAGTAATCCTAATTTCAGCAGTTAAAATAGAGGCAAGCAAATCCAGCCTCCCTAATGTGATTAACCCTATCCGTTTTAACAATCCTTTCGTTTGTATAGTGTGGTCTAGGTTAAGTAAATTAATTTCTGTAAGCCTAAATGTCTGCACAAAGTGGGGCAACTTACAGAACGTACCCACTACAGTCGTTTTGAAGACAAAATGAGACACGGCATGAAAAGTGCATTCCCCCAGACCCACCTGGTACCCGGTAAGATCTAGGTAATTAACAACGGCGGAAATTAGGGTACTTCCGCCTCATCTGCCACTGAACATTTAGGTTGTTTCTAATCTTTGGGAAGTAAACGCATTGCCCAACGTATTGCTTTATCTTTGGTCTGATTTTACCTGCTGGCAGGTGAAATTTCGCCTCCTGGCGGCCTCACCTAACGTCCCCTCCCTCCGAGGCGCGCCCTCTGCAGGCGGCAGGGGACGCTGCGGCCACCTGAGCCCGCCGGATGCTAATGAGCCTACGGCCCCGCCTCCTGCCGGAAGTGGCTGCAGCGGGGCGGGGCCTGCGAACAGGGTCCGGCGGCCGTGCGGGAGCCATGGCGGCCTCGGAGGCGGCGGCGGCGGGGTCCTCGGCTCTGACGGCGGGTACCCGGGCCGTCCCGGCGGCCACAAGAGGAGCCGCCGCCGCCGCCTCGGGACCGTGGGTGCCCCCGGGACCCCGACTGAGGGGCAGCCGGCCGCGACCCGCGGGGGCGACGCAGCAGTCCTCGGCCCCCGCGCTACCGCCGGGGGAGCTGATCCAGCCGTCGGTGAGCGAACTGTCGCGGGCCGTGCGGACCAACATCCTGTGTACCGTGCGCGGGTGCGGCAAGATCCTGCCCAACAGCCCCGCGCTCAACATGCACCTGGTCAAGAGCCACCGCCTGCAGGTGAGCCCGACACGGCCGGCGGCCGGGGCTGCGGGGCCTGGCTCCAACAAAGCGCCCAGCGCCGGCGCGCAAGCCAGACCTCGGGGGGACAAGCGCCCTGCGCGCCGCTGCTGCCCCGCTGCTGCCCCGCCGGCCTCTGCCCGCCCCTGCTGCAGGTGTCTCTCGAACCCTTGCGGCGGGCCCCACAGGTGCGGCCTCCAGCGGGGAGGAAGAGTCAGGAGCCCGGGGTCAGCCACTTGCGCCGGTTTCCTGGCCCCGAGTGTCGTGCCGGATGCCGGCCCAGGCATTTTACACGTTTTTGCTCATGAGTTCTCATGGCATCTTGGCGGAGGACGTCTGGTTTCCATTAATGAGAAACAGATTATGCAACCTAGGTGATGCGGAGCTTTAAACCCGGGTCTCTGGTTCTGAAGCCCTGTGCTTGCCACCACACCCACAATACCGCCCTTAGGTCCTGCCCAGTGGACTGTATGTGCCAAAATAACTAGAAGACAGGGTTTTGAATGTTCTCGTTACCAAGAGACAATACGTTTGAGGTCAAGGACATGTTAAATACACTGACTTGATCACTATGCAATGTATATGTGCATCCATGCTGCACACTGCACCCCCTCAGTAGCAATAATTACTCTGTGTCGATTAAGCATAAAAAGATGTCTTAAAGCAGCCTTAGGTTGTGCTCTAAACGCCATCAGTTTCATGGTGTTGTAAGATCAGTTCAGGATTGAGACCTAAGGGAAATTGCCCCTGTAGCTCTTCTTTAAGAGGGGATGCAATACAGCATGACAAGAGTCAGTTCAGTTCCTCCACGTTATGCAAAACGGGGCGGTCGTTTTCACCCTCTAGGACACATCTGTGACAAGCATATTAAAAATCCAGATGTCCAGCCCCACCCCGGACCTATTAAGTCATAATCTCTCAGTCATTACAATGGCAAGTTTCCTTCCACCACTCTAGGCCAGCGATGACAGTATTCAAAAGCAAAGTCATTGAAAGCAGTTCTGTGAATATGTAGCTTTTGATGGTCGGGAGTAAATTTAAGAGTACCCAGACAGAGTATTGCATGTTCTGTCTGCCCATCAGGTGAATTCACTGTAGTCAGACTGCTGATAAGAATTTAACAGCAAAAACTCTGAGACTGTAGTCTCTAGTAGGACAGATGTGTCACCCATGAAGGGTGATCCGCTTTTACCATCATCTAAACCGAGATGCAACAGCGTTCTCAAGTGAAGATCAGGGAGCCAGTCAGGAAATGTACCTGAGGGATGCTGAGGAAGGCCCTGTAGGTGGGGCTGAATTGTTGCACTGAAAGCTCTGGGTTTTTTTCAGCACACAAGTGTAACTCTGGGAATGGCTTTCAACCTATTTTGTTTTCATACTACATTTTAAATCCTTTTTGGTTGTTGTTTTTGTTTTTGAGACAGAGTCTTGCTCCGTCGCCCAGGCTGGAGTGCAATGGCGCAATCCCAGCTCACTGCAACCTCTGCCTCACAGGTTCAGGCAATTCTGCCTCAGCCTCCCAAGTAGCTGGGATTACAGGTGCCTGCCACCACACGCAGCTAATTTTGTGTTGCATTTTTAGTAGAGAGAGGGTTTCACTGTGTTGGCCAGCCTCTTCTCCAACTTCTGACCTCAAGTGATCCACCTGCCTCCGTCTCTCAAAATGCTGGGATTACAGGCATGAGCCACCACGCCTGGCCTAACTCCTTTTTTTAATCATAACTTAGGTGGATTAACTATTTTTTAACAGTTTCTTTTTGTTCCTTTCTGTGGAATTGCTGTTAGGAGCTCTAGCTCTTTAAAGACCCTGGAAAACATCTGTTGAACTGAAGACACCATTTACTTTTCAGGACTGGTTAGTATACAGTAGGTTTGTTTCTAATTATGTTGGGATTTTTGTTTTGTTTTGAGACAAACTTTCACTCTATCATCTGGGCTGGAGTGCAGTGGTGCGATCTTGGATCACTGCAACCTCCGCCTCACTAGTTCCAACTAGTTTCCTGCCTCAGCCTCCCAAAGTGCTGGGATTACAGTTGTGAGCCACTGCACCCAGCCAGGGCGACCTTTTTTTTTTTTTTTTTAAAGCAGGAATTAAACCTCACCAGATCCATTACTTTTGTTCTTTCTTGATAAGCAGGCACACTTTCCTGTCTTGTCCTGGCTTTCTTACCACAGTGCCGAGTGGCCCCTGAGCATCTGCTGTCTTGGTGGAGAGGGAGTTCATTTCTTTTCATGAAGGTGGTCTCTGTGATGCAGGAGCTACCTATAGGATGGTGCCCCGGTAAGGGGACCTGTACCCTCAGTCTGGCTACTGCATAGAAGGCTCTTCAGGCCTTGCTATGTTACCCAGGTTGGTGTTAAACTCTTGAGCTCAACTGATCCTCCTGCTTTAGCCTCCCTAGTAGCTGGGACTGTAGCTGCCTACTACCACATCCAGCCTCAAACATTATTCCTTTTTTTTTTTTTTTTTTTGGACACAGTCTCGCTCTGTAGCCCAGGCTGGAGTGCAGTGGCACGATCTTGGCTCACTGCAACCTCTGCCTCGTGGGTCCTGGTTCAGGTGGTTCTCCTGCCTCAGCCTCCTGAGTAGCTGGCATTGCAGGCACCCACCACCATACCCAGCTAATTTTTGTATTTTTAGTAGAGACGGGTCACACCATGTTGGTTGGACTCATCTGATCTGCCCGCCTTGGCCTCCCAGAGTGCTGGCATTATTTTGAGATGGAGTCTCGCTCTGTCTCCCAGATTGCACTGCAGTGGCACCATCGCAGCTTACTGCAACCTCCACCTCTAGGATTTTCCACCTCAAGCAATTCTCCTGCCTCAGCCTCCCGAGTAGTTGGGATTACAGGCATGTGCCGACGTGCCCAGCTAATTTTTGTATTCGTAGAGACTGGGTTTCACCACGTTAGTCAGACTGGTCTTTAACTTCTGACCTCAAGTGATCCGTCCGCCTCAACCTCCCAAAGTACTGGGATTACAGGCATGAGCCACTGCACTGGGCCTCAAACATTATTATTGATACCTATTTTCAAACTACCAGAAGGAGGGAGGGGTAAGGACAAGGGACAGGGAGGAAGGCTGGCTGGGAAGCTATCTTAGGTTTGAAGAGCTGTGTTGACCAGAGACTCCACCTACTTTTTGCCCTGAGTATATGTCATTGGCAGGCTTTCTTATACTCAGTGGAAATTTCCACTGTCTTGGTCACAGTTGCTTGCATAATTTCTTTCATTGTTTATATATTTTCTAGATTATATCTTCTTCCCCTCCCCACTAGTTGCTGTGTAGTATTTTGTTCTAATCTTCCTTCACAAAACACCCTACCCCCAACCTAATGTTCCCTTCTTAACATAAATGATGAGCAAGCCCTTCCGAGCGATGATGGGTGAGAATGAGGAATTGGATGTCGGCTGTAGAGTATGTGCCATCTTCTGGTTTGATGTAGGTGCTTAAGGTATATGGCCATATTCCACATCCTGTAAGGAAATCCAGAAATCTAGCTCAGCCTTGTGTACGGTGCGATTCATGGAGAAATGAAAGCTATGATGATTCAGGGGCAGGAAGAGTAGAAGAAAGAAGACATTTTTTGATTACTAGAGATTCTTTTGTTCCTGTGTATGAAAGCAGTGGAGGGGACAGGTGGGCGCTTAAAGAACCTCTTATCAAGCAACATTTATATCTGTAAAACATGGCTTAGAGGATTTTGTGTAATTTTCAATCCAGAGGTTTGCTTTTAGTGATTTGCCAGAAATCTTTTAAAGAAAGGTTCCAAGTTGCTCGATAGACTATATTGTGCAAAGATTTCTAATTGTAAATTTAGAGTAAGATGTCAAAGCCAACTGTTTCCTTCTTGGACGCTTTCTCGGAAGGCGGTCAGGTGGTGCTAGAGTACTACAGTGACAGTTTCTCCCAGTTTTTGCTACAGTTCGTGCAGTCTTTTTTTTCACCCTCTACGGCTGTGTCCTTCCTTTACCTCTTGTATATTTTTTTTCCGTCTTGTTACTGGATCGTTTCCTCTCATAGGTTCTTTTTCAAGGTCTGTAACTTAAAATCTTTCACAAACAGTAAGTATTTTTGTGTACATCTTTTTCAGTTATGCACACAAAATACACAAAAAGTCTAGTACATCTTTTTCTTGAATGTATATAGAACTTCAGAATAAAACCACCACTTTCTCAGTGCATTTCCATTTTACCGTGCCAGCGCCATTTCTCATCCCCTCAGCCATCCTGCCCTTGAGCATATTCTCTGACAGAAATGGGAAGAAGGCCCCAAAAGCAGAGGGTGGGGGTGGGAGGGGAACTGCTGTGCAGGTGAGAGGTGGGGTGCTGGTTCTTAGAAAGCAGGAGCATGACGGTGTCAGGTTGTTGCCATGACAATGAACCTGTTCACACCCACTTTGACTGTCTTCAGTGGTCTCTTCCCCAGGCATGATAGTTTTGGCCTAAATGGCCATTGAACAGATTCAGTATAATGCCACCAGTTTTTACTGAACATTTATTCTGTTCAAAACATCCCCAAAGGCAACAGAAGATACAAATAAATCCCTGCCCATGAAAAGGTGTGGGAAATTAGAATTAGTTCTCTTAGGTGTAATGAGAGAAGAGAACGTAGTTTGAAGCTATGGAGGAAGGGACTTGGATCCCAAGCTCAAGAAGTTTGGACTTGAATAGTATTGGGGGGCTGCTGAAAACGTTTGAGCAAGGTAATGACATAATCGAAGCTGTTCTTAGGAGAATCTGATAAAGTATGAGTGAAAAAGAGACTGAAGGTCTAGAATTTAGATTAAGAGGCTAATGACAAATTCCACATAAATAGGAGGAGTTGAACGGAGGGGCACTGAGAATGAAGAGGACAGGAGATAGCAAAAGGCATTCAGCGATGAGAGCACACAATACTGAGCGCATGAGGGACGTGGGAAGGGATAATGAAACAATGACCTAGCATCACTGACCATGTGTTCCAAATGAGCGGGAATCTTGTAGTGATCCCAATCGGTGGTTTCATGGAGCATTTGACAGCCTAGGATTATGTAAGGGGGACATCTCCCTGGAATATAAATTGACTAAGAGGAATCCAATAACCGTCAAATGAATGCAGTATTTTAGAGTCTTGCCTAGTATTCTCCCCGCATTTTATTTAATCTACTCAAACACACTCATGTTCTTTTTCTCTTACTGATAACACTAGATGGAGACACTCTAAGGTAATTGAAAGTATTTCACAGAATGTGCCCTTTTTCAGTCATTCCCTGTTTCCATTCCAGCCTGTGTTGGTTTTTGAAATAATTATTTAAAGTAATGTTCCTTTTGCAGGATGGCATAGTCAATCCAACAATAAGAAAAGATTTGAAAACTGTACCGAAATTCTACTGTTGTCCAATCGAAGGCTGCCCCAGAGGCCCTGACAGACCATTTTCTCAGTTTTCTCTCGTAAAACAGGTATTGTAAAGTTCTCTGAGGATGAGATACAGATGCTATAAACCTATTGTGCATTCTGATTATTTAGCAAACATAACTACAGAATCGAATAGAAAGCTGCGTGTAAGAGGAGCTGCCCACGTCTCCATTTGGTATAAACCTGAGTGTGCTATTACACAAGTGGAGGGAAATGCGGCACAGTCTGGAGGGAATATGTCTAGAAGTGGGTTGGGGGGGGCGGGGGGGGGAGGGAGGGAGACCAGTTCAGCAAAGAATGTGAAAATATATGCTGTCAGATCTCCTGCGTGAGTCTGCGTGCCTCCAAGGGCAGAGCACACAGACACAAAGAACTGTTCTCCCCGGGGGAATAGGAACCTGCGGAATCCAGGAAAAGAAGAGTTTTGGAAGCCGCTATCTTAGGAGGGAGGGCCCCAGTGACTGGGACAAGAGGTGATTCAGAAGAGATTGGCATCTGAAATGTTCCCCCGAGGGTCTGCTGGAGGGTGTCCTAGCATTGCACTTACAGATCAGAGTGTAAATGCTGGAGACCATGGACTGTTTCCAAAACAATCTCCTCACTTTTCACAAAGCAAAAGCAACAAGAAGAGGCATATGTAGAACACACTGCAGTGTGCCTGCTTTTAAATTCTTGACTTGGACTGCTATATTTTATGTTATTTATATTAACAGTGTAAAATCCTTGTTCACGTGGGTGCGAAGATGGTTTTGAAATGCTTTGATCAGCTGCTGTTTTTCATCTTAGTCCCTTCTGTGTCCTTCGCAGCACTTTATGAAAATGCATGCTGAGAAGAAGCACAAATGTAGTAAGTGCAGCAATTCGTATGGTACAGAATGGGACTTGAAAAGACACGCAGAGGACTGTGGCAAGGTCTTCCGGTGCACATGTGGCTGTCCCTACGCCAGTAGAACGGCACTGCAGTCTCACATCTACCGAACTGGCCATGAGATCCCTGCAGAACACAGGTGAAAGAACGAGATGATGACACAAAAGTCAGTAGCTATGAGAAGCATTTCAGATGAAACATCTCGGCCGGGCGCGGTGGCTCACGCCTATAATCCCAGCACTTTGGGAGGCCGAGGCAGGTGGATCACGAGGTCAAGAGATCGAGACCATCCTGGTCAACATGGTGAAACCCTGTCTCTACTAAAAATACAAAAATTTAGCTGGGCATGGTGGCGCGTGCCTGTAATCCCAGCTACTCAGGAGGCTGAGGCAGGAGAATTGCCTGAACCCAGGAGGCGGAGGTTGCGGTGAGCCGAGATCGCGCCATTGCACTCCAGCCTGGGTAACGAGCAAAACTCCGACTCAAAAAAAAAAAAAAAAAAAGAAACATCTGGAGACCCAGTGGTGTGGAGAGAAAAAAGGAATCTTAGGAAACGTGTGACGTGGAAGAAGGAAGCTTCTGAATGTGGCAGCAGATCTTGCAAGTAACCCATGTCTGGGCCTGAAATCTTGACCCAATTGTTCCTCCTGTTTTTTTCCGCTACCCTCCTTTGAGAGTCCCTTGTTATTTCCATTTGAAAATCTCAACTGCCAGAATTTTCTATTAGAGGGAACCAGACTGCTAAAGAGTAAGTTTTATCATGAAACTTTACTTCATTTGAAGTTCAAATTTACATTTGGTGTGGTAGCTTCCTCCTTAGAAATGAGAAAACTTACCTTAAAGTAAATTATTTTTAAAAAAATTAAAGAAATGAGAAAACTTGCATTAAATAAGTCTTTTAGCTTCCGTTGGCTTAAAGAGCTGAGTTGAGTTCTAGTACTTAGAGCTTAACCAAGAAAAAGGTATGCTTCCTCCTTCCCCGTGTGCGTGTTTCTGAACATCCACCTGCCATAAGAGGACCAATTCCCAGAGTTACAAAAGAAGGGATTTATCTTGTCTGGGTTGAATCTGACCTCTACTATAGATGTGGGAAATGGCATTTGTAAGTGAAGATACAGTGTCATGGTCAGAGAAAGCTGTATGTTCAGGTTTTTTCTTTGCTCTGTCATTGTTTTCAGGGATCCGCCTAGTAAAAAAAGGAAAATGGAAAACGGCTTGCAAAACCAGAAGGTGTCCAGTAAGACCACTGAACCAGTGAACAACCAGCCAGTCCCTAGACCAGACACGCAAGAACTAGAAGCTTCAGAAATAAAGCTAGAACCATCTTTTGAAGACTCCTGTGGCTCTAACACTGAAAAGCAGACTCTTACACCACCAAGATATCCTCAGAAGTTGCTTTTACCCAAGCCAAAAGTGGCTTTGGTTAAACTACCAGTGATGCAGTTTTCTCTCACGCCTGTCTTTGTGCCTACAGCTGACTCCCCAGCCCAGCCCGTGGTGGTAGGTGTGGATCAGGGCTCTGCCACAGGGGCTATGCACTTGCTGCCCTTGTCAGTAGGAACCCTGATCCTTGGCCTAGATTCAGAGGCTTGCTCTCTTAAGGACAGCCTACCTCTTTTCAAAACTGCTCATCCTGTCGCTCTTGAGCCCATAAGCACAGGCGTTCAAGTGAACTTGGGTAAAAGTCCATCTGCTCCTTTACAAGAACTAGGGAACACATGTCAGAAGAACAGCATTTCTTCCATCAATGTGCAGACGGATCTGTCTTATGCCTCACAAAACAACTTTATACCTTCTGCACAGTGGGCCGGCACTGATTCCTCTGTGTCATCTTGTTCCCAAACTGATTTGTCATTTGATTCTCAAGTGTCTCTTCCCATTAGTGTTCACACTCAGACATTTTTGCCCAGCTCTAAGGTAACTTCATCTATAGCCGCTCAGACTGATACATTTATTGACACCTGTTTCCAGTCAGGTGGGGTCTCCAGAGAAACTCAAACCAGTGGGATACAAAGCCCAACAGATGCCCATGTACAGATGGACCAGGCTGCCATGTGTGGAGACATTTTTGGGAGTGTTCATTCATCATATAATGTCGCTACAGGTAACATCATAAGTAACAGTTTAGTAGCAGAGACAGTAACTCATAGTTTGTTACCTCAGAATGACCCTAAGACTTTAAATCAAGTTATTGAGAAATCTGCACCAATTATAAACTTCAGTGCACAGAATAGTATGCTTCCTTCACAGAACATGACAGATAATCAGACCCAAACCATGGATTTATTCAGTGATCTGGAAAACATCTTGTCAAGTAATCTGCCTGCTCAGACACTGGACCATCGTAGTCTTTTGTCTGACACAAATCCTGGACCTGACACGCAGCTTCCATCTGGCCCAGCCCAGAATCCTGGAATTGATTTTGATATCGAAGAGTTCTTTTCAGCCTCAAATATCCAGACTCAAACTGAAGAGAGTGAACTTAGCACCATGAACCCTGAGCCAGTCTTGGAGTCACTGGACATAGAGACTCAAACGGACTTCCTACTTGCCGATACCTCTGCTCAGTCCTACGGGTGTAGGGGAAATTCTAACTTCTTAGGCCTTGAGATGTTTGACACGCAGACACAGACAGACTTAAACTTCTTCTTAGACAGTAGCCCTCATCTGCCTCTGGGAAGTATTCTGAAACACTCCAGCTTTTCCATGAGTACTGATTCATCTGACACAGAGACCCAAACTGAAGGAATCTCCGCTGCTAAAAATATACCTGCTCTAGAAAGCAGAGTTCAGTTCAACAGTACGGAAACACAGACCATGAGTTCTGGGTTTGAAACCCTGGGGAGCTTGTTCTTCACCAGCAATGAAACTCAAACAGCGATGGACGACTTTCTTCTGGCTGATCTGGCCTGGAACACGATGGAGTCTCAGTTCAGCTCTGTAGAAACCCAGACCTCTGCTGAACCACACACAGCCTCCACCTTCTAAAACCAAAAGTGGAGTCCGCGTGTGACACGGCATCCACCATTTCCTCTGGATTGAACTACAGAAGGGGGACAACAGTATTCTACTGAATGTAGTCGATGATGCAGTTGCTTAAGCTTTGCGGTTCTTTGCCTTTTGTACCTGTCACCATGAAATTTGTGTATAAATGTGAGTCTGTTATAAAGTGTGAGATGTTGATCTAAACTGTTTTTGTGTTGCCTACATTGGCCCTTTCACAGCTAGTCTTTTCATATTTAAAAAACGGATTTCACACCTATAAAATATACATAGCCATTTAGCTGAAGCCAAGCTTACCAGGTTCAAGGATACAAATTTCTCAGATCTTCTGAAACATTTTAGTCAAAGTGTAATATACTTAATTGCACCCAAAATACCTTTGACAGTGCTTGTTAGAAATTCCTGATTCCTATTACTAATAACTACAGAAACCTGACGCTGCCACCGTAAGATGTACGCAGTAGTGCTTCCGTGCTCTTAGACTCCTGCTGCCTGCACCTTCATCAGCTCTGACACCTCTTTACTGATTTAAAGACACCAAGGAAAACTGTAGCTGTTTAGCTTTTGAAGCAGTTTTCATGTAATCAATGCCACCTCTGCCGTACGTGAGCTACTGCTGAGCACTTTACACACAAGAAGTTTACTGACATAAAATTACTGGCTAGGGAAAGAGCAGCAGGCCAGGCATGGTGGCTCACCCCTCTAATCCCAGCACTTTAGGAGGCTGAAGCGAGAGGATCACTTGAGCTCAGGAGTTCTACAACAGCTTGGGCAACATAGGGAGACAGTGTCTCTAGAAAAAAGAAATTTAATTAGCCAGGCATAGCGGTGTGCACCTGTGATCCCAGCTCCTTGGGAGGCTGAGGTGAGAGGATCACTTGAGGAGGTTGAGGCTGCAGTGAGCCATGATCACGGCACTGTACTCTAACCTGGGTAACAGGGCAAGACCCTATCTCAAAAATAAAAGCAAGCACTTAGTAGTGTTGTGTTCCTGCTAAAAGGGTGAGTTATCCAAACCATGGGAACAGAGTTGTGGAAACATGCCTATTACTTCATTTGGGGATATACCCTATGAATATCCTCTCTGCTCTCCACAGTAGGCCAGAGTCGGGGGGCTCTGGAGCTGTTTCCCAAAGTGCATCCACAGGCTGGATCTAAGTTTTGTCACTCTAAACATTAAAAAACAAGAAAAAAATGGGAAGAGAAAAGGGCATCCCCCATTAGGTTTCAATACGTTGCACTTCTACTGAGTTTGATAGGGCAGGAGTGAAATCTACAATTATTTTAAAGTTGAATTTCGTTGTATTCACCGTTCTTTATCTTTTCCTTGAACAAGACAAGATACTGGTCTAGCAAGGATGTTACTTGTGCCTTAAGGCTAACAATTATAGGATAGATTCATCTAAAATATGGTATTCTGCATTTTGTTGATTTTTTTTTTAAAAGAGAATACGAAACAGTCTTCAAAGAATGCAAAGAAAGTGAAGACCTATTGCTTCAATAATCAAGAACATTTTCTGTTTTGAGGTGGGAGCATGATCAAGTATGCTTTGGGGATTTTCTGTATTTAGGAGATCCTGGATTCTTTTGTTTGTTTGTTTTTATTTTTTTATTTTTTATTAGATCCTGGATTCTTAATTGTTGGCTAACTTCCAGCCAAGTAGGAATAATGCAGCCTCTAAGTTGTCTACATTCACACACACACACACACACACACACACACACACACACACACCTTTCTGTGGCACGTGCCTGTGTTACTGAAAGCTAAATCCTCAAAATAAAACCTACTAAGGAAACTAATGATTCATTAAATGGATGGTTCTGCTACTAATTCCCATCCCATACATCTGTTACAAAAGAAGTGTTGGTAAACAGCATATCCTGGGCAGATGGACTCCACCCAGGAGGTAAGTTTGCTGTGGTCACAGTTGCCTGTGAGTATGGATTTCAAAACAAACATAAAGCCTTAACTCAGAATTTCATTACATTTTAGAATCGTCACTGCCTTAATATTCAAGCATCTATTTAAGTCCTCCTAATGAAGGAGAAACGCATGTTTATGGCTTTGTTGTAAATATAAATGCAGTGATCTATGGCTTAAAATTTTTTCTGTGTTTGTGACAATGTTTGTAAATCTAGTCAATAGAGTTATTTACAGAAAAAACTGAGCATGTAATAATACAAGAACTGTTTCCCCCTCAAAACCTGAATGTGAATTATTTGTAAAAACTGAAATTTAATGATTAAAGAGAAGCCAGAATTCTGTCTTTTCTTGTGACTTCCTGAACCTACTCATAAATGTCATTTTATTGCCATTTCACAAACTCATTGTCTTCTGAAAGCCATATGATAAAATGACTTTATTTCATCATACCCCGGCTCACACCTGTAATCCCCGCACTTCGGGAGGCCGAGGCAGGTGGATCACCTGAGGTCAGGACTTTGAGATGAGCCTGCCCAACATGGTGAAACCCCATCTCTACTAAAAATACAAAAATTAGCCAGGTATGGTAGCATGCACCTGTAATCCCAGCTACTTGGGAGACTGTGGCAGGAGAATCTTGAACCCGGGAGGCAGACGTTGCAGTGAGCTGAGATTGCGCCACTGTACTCCATCCTGGGTGGCAGTATTCAAAAGAATACTGGAGTATGTCAGGGGAGTGGTGGAAAACCTATGACACACAGAGTCTCTGATGGCCACGGAGAGAAGGGATTGAAAGATCCTGCTCTGCCAGCCCACCTCCTCAGTCAGGATCAGCTCAGAACCAAGATGGATTTCTGTCTGGGGAAAAGGAAGGCAGAAGGTCACCACCAGGTCCTATTACTACCACAGACAGCTGTGGTCTTTGCTGCTGGAGAACCCTGCAGTTCTCTCAGGCTGCCCTGAGCCCAGTTTAGAAAGTTGCCTGAGTTCACATGGCTGCATTACTGCAGAGAAGAAGGTGACCCAAGCTGCCACAGCATGGCACCATTTTCAAACTGGACCCACTGATAGCATCCTGCTATGGGGGACAGTAACCATGGCCTCTCCATCCCTGAGGCTCTGCCATCATGACACCATGCTCACACAGTAGTGCAGCATCCCCCAGCGGAGGTGCTACAGCTCCCTACTCCTAGGGAACAAGCTGCCTAAGTGGTGCTCTGTCTTACCCATCCCAGTGGCAGCACAGTCCTGAACTCAACTACTCAGAACCTAGGCCTAGCAGAACAGCCATGACCCTAGCACCCAAGCCCATGCAGTGTCCTGCCTCCAAAAGAACAGGCAGTATTGCTCTGAGGGGAAGCCAAGCTCAAGCCAGTGGATCAGCCCCACATCCATCCCTCAGCATGCAAAAAGTCTGGTACCTCATCCACAGAGGAGCCATATCCCACCTGGTATGCCAGCCACACAATCTCCTGCAGCCTAGGCCACTGAGGCCCTTTCAGGCATTGCTGACATTGATTACAGCTGAAGAACCTGCAATGGCGACCACACTACTACTATACCCATGCAGAACCAAAGCCAATGTGCCTTACCCAACTGATACTTAGGCCCCGTTTGCATGTGAATGCCTTTCCCTATGAAAGTCACTCTATAGAACTGGAAAATCAGCGGCACAGGAATCAACACAGGGACACAAGAAGCATGAAAAAGCAAACAAATACGACACCACCAAAGAAACAAAATAATTCTCCAATAACTGACGCCCAGTTAGATAGAAATTTATGAATTTCTTGAAAAGGAATTCAAAATAATTATCTTGAGGAAGCCCAACAAGACACAGAGAATACAGATAAGCAAAATAATTCTTGATCTAAATAAGAAATTCAAGAGAGATTGATATTTTTTTTTAAAAAAACCCAACAGACATCTTGGATCTGAAGAATTCAATGAATGAATAAAAAATACAATTGACTGGCTCAAGCCTGTAATCCCAGCACTTTGGGAGGCCGAGACGGGTGGATCACGAGGTCAAGAGATCGAGACCATTCTGGTCAACATGGTGAAACCCCGTCTCTATTAAAAATACAAAAAAATAGCTGGGCACGGTGGTGTGTGCCTGTAATCCCAGCCACTTGGGAGGCTGAGGCAGGAGAATTGCCTGAACCCAGGAGGCGGAGGGTGCAGTGAGCCGAGATCGCGCCATTGCACTCCAGCCTGGGTAACAAGAGCGAAACTCCGTCTCAAAAAAAAAAATACAATTGACAGCTTCAACAACAGACTAGATCAAACAGGAAAAAAAAGAATTTCTTTCTTTTTTCTTTTTTCTTGAGACAGAGTCTCCCTCTGTCACCCAGGTTGGAGAGTAGTGGTACCATCTTGGTTCACTGCAACTTCCACCTCCTGGATTCAAGTGATCCTGCCTCAGCCTCCTGAATATCTTGGATTACAGATGTTTGCCACCTCACCTGGCTAATTTTTGTATTTTTAGTAGAGAGGAGGTTTAACCATGTTGGCCAGTCTGGTCTTGAACCCCTGACCTCAGGTGATCTGCCTGGCTTGGCCTCCCAAAATGCTGGGATTACAGGCATGAGCCACTGCACCCACCCACAACAAAAAAAAAAAAAAAAAAAAAAAAAAAATTCTGAACTTGAAGACAGCTCTACGGAAATAACAACTTCAATGGGAATAAAGAGAGAATGAAAAAAAGTGCAGAAAGTCAACAACTTATGGGGACATCATTAAGTGAACAGATATTCACATTATGAGATTTTCGGAGGGAAATGGAGAAAGGCACAGAAAGTTTATTTAATGAAATAATAGCTGAAAATTTCCCAAGTTCTGGAATAGATATGGACATCCAGATCCACGACACTCCAAGAATCCCAAATAGATTCAACCCAAAGATGTCCTCCCAGAGGCACATTATAATCAAACTGTAAAAAGTCAAAGACACAGAGTTTTAAAAGCAGCAAGAGAAAAGCAAGAAATCACATACAAGGGAATCTCCATTACACTATCAACATATTTCTCAGCAGAAACTTTGAAGGCCAGGAAAGAAAGGAATGATACAGTCAATGTTCTGAAATCTGCCACCCAAGAATACTATACCCTCTTTTAGAAATGAAAGTAAAATAAAGTATATTTCAGACAAGCAAAAGCTTAAGAAATTCATCACCACTAGTCTGGCCTAGAAATGCTACTGAAGTACTTCAACCAAAAGTAAAAGGATAATTACTTTCATCATTTTGTGTGTCACATGAAAAGATATGACAGTATAAAACTCACTGTAGAGGTAAATTCATAATCAAATTCAGAATGCACCATTACTCTAATGGTATATAAGTCAGATCTCCAATATGAATAATAACTATGGCTACAATACATTGTTAAGGAATACACAATATAAAAAGATGTAAATTAAGACAAAATTATAAATTGTGGGGGGAAGGGCAAACATTTTTTGTATGAGTATCTGTACAGGACCAAAGTTGTTATCAACTTTAAAAAGTCTATTGTAAGTATAAGATTTTTCATGTAAGCACCTTAGTAACCACACACACAAAAATTACATCAAATACACAAATGAGAAAGACAAAGGAATCAAACTTTACCACTGCAGAAAACCACTAAAACAACAAAAGAGGAAGAAAAGGACAAAGGATATGTAAACCGAGTTTTAAAATACCAGTAATAACCTTGAATGTAAATACATCAAATTCTCCAATTAAAGATAGAGAGTGACTGAATGGATTTAGAAAATAAAGCCTACAAGAGACTTGCTGAACATGCAAGGTCACACACAAACTAATGTGGAGGGATGGACAAAGTTATTCCATGCAAATTGAAACCAAAAGAGAACATGAGTAGCTATACTTACATCAGATAACATAGACTTTAAGTCAAAACTGCAAAAAGAGATAAAGTCATTATATAACAATTTTAAATACATATGCAACCAACACCAGAACACCAACATATAAAGCAAGTATTACTATAAATATTGTCTAAATATTATCTATAGAGAGAAACAGACTGCCATGCATAATAGGGGATTTCAGCGCTCTACCTTTGGCAATGGACCAGTCATCCAGAAAAATCAACAGACATTAAACTGCACAAGAGACCGAATGGGCCTCGCAGACAGTGACAGAACACTCCTGCAGAAATCTACAGAATACACGTTTTTCTCATCAGCACATGAAACACTTCCCAGGACAGACCAGACCTTAGGCCACAAAATAAATCTTAACAAATGTAAGATCAAAGTCATTTCAAGTTTTGTTTCTTTTAAACACAATGGCTATTACTAAAAAGTCAAAAAATAACAGATGTTAGCAACTTTGCACAGAAAAGGGAACAGTTATACACTGCTGGGGGGAATGTAAATTAGTTCAGCCGTTGTGGGAAGCAGTTTCTTTTTTTCTTTTGTGTGTGTGTGTGTGTGTGTGTGTGTGTAGTATTGCTCTTTAGGTTCTGGGGTACATGTGCAGATCATGCAGGACTGTTGCATAGGTACATACATGGCAATGTGGTTTGCTGCCTCCATCCCTCCATCATCTATATCTGACATTTCTCCCCATGTTATCCCAGAGATTTCTCAATGAACTAAAAATAGAATTCAACTCGGCAACACCATTAGTGGGTCTATACCCAAAGGAAAACAAATCATTCTACCAAAGATACAGATGCACTCGTATTTTTATCACAGCACAATTCACAATAGCAAAGACAGGGAATCAACCTAGGTACCCATCAATGGTAGAATAAATTTCTTTTCTCTTTTTTTGAGATGGCGTCTCAATCTATCAGCCAGGCTAGAGTGCAGCAACCTCCACCTCCTAGGTTCAAGTGCTTCTCCTACCTCAGCCTCCCAAGTAGCCAGAATTACAGGGTTGTATCACCGTGCTTGGATAATTTTTGTATTTTTACTAGAGATGGGTTTTCACCATGTTGGCCAGGCTAGCCTCAAACTCCTGACCTCAAATGATCCACCAACCTCAGCCTCCCAAAGCGCTGGGATTACAGGTGTGAGCCACCACGCCCAGCCTGGATTTCTAAAATGTGGTACGTAGATACAATGGAATACTATGCAACCATAAAAAAGAACAAGACCATGTGCTTTAGAGCAACATGGATGCAGCTAGATGCCATTATCCTAAACAAACTAACACAAAACAAAAACCAAACACCGCCTGTTCTGATTTATAAGGGGGAGGTAAACACTGGATACATGCAGAGGTAAAGATGAGAACAAGAGACACTGGGGACCCTAAAAGTGGGGATGTGAGAAGGAGAACAATGGTTGAAAACTGACCTATTGGGCACTATGTTCACTATTTGG